AAATTGGAAAAAGAAGAAGCAAAAAAAAATGATGACAAAGAATAAAAAAATGGAAGAAAAAAAAGATGGGATCACTGAAAAAGAATAAGAGGGTGAAGAAAACAATCATTACAAAATTTAACTAATTTTTTTGTGCTTTCACAATTTATAAGTTCATATCAAATTAACAAAATGTTAAGCTATTACTTCCTGGAAAATAAACACATTACAAAAATAAGAAAAGTAATTAAAAAGAAAATGAACTAATCTAATATTAACTGAATTTATAAATTAACAAAATCTAGACTATCAAATGAATTGATAAGTGAAATACAAAACGTAAACAAGAACGAAAAACATGAGTAAGAGAAAAGAACTTATTTTCCTCGTCTATTCCTGTTGATGTGAGCTTAGGTTTTAAGTGTTTTTGATGAACTACAATTGGCATTAATTGAACCTCTACGCCTCTGATTGCAGTGAAGAACTTAGTCACTCAGAAGAAGAGTCTGGAATCAGAGAATTATCCACTTAGTCCACAAACTGTTAGTATTCACCTCAGAGTATGGCATCCTTATAGTGAGTGCTTATTTTGAAAATAAAACTCTCCATTGGGGTGGCTCTTCTGATGATTTATACTTTTTGAATACAGTTTTTTGTTATGATGGAGGAGTATGCATTTCTTCTCTTCATTATTCTCCTGGAGGAGATCATAATGGATAGGAGCTTGCCTCAAAACGTTGGACCCCTTTCCATATTGTAAGTGTTTCGTTCATTATTTTCCACCCTTTAGCTTCAGTATACTGATAATTTGTTAGGGTTAAGTAATCTATGGGTTTGTATTTCCTGGGACTGCTGTATAACTTATCATTCTTCGATTACATTATAGCTTTCCTTGTGTCAGAGAGATTTCAGAAATACTGGATATTGAGCTTATACATTACATTTGTGTCGCAAGTTTTTCAAGTATTCATAGAGTTTATAAGTCGGGAAATGGGAATAATTAATTTGCAGGATAGTGCAACACTAGACTAGACTGGACCTCTTTCTAAGAGTGCTCAAGTGGAATATGAACTACTTTCTGATAGAAGAACATTGAGGCTAATGTTGGGTTTGTATAACGCTCGTAGAAAGCATGGTGTTGAGTATCATATTAATGTTCTCAGGTTCCAACAACGAGTCACCGCAAATGTGGAAGCTGCAAAGTAATGGAGGGACAACATAGCATACTAATGATGGAGTCTAAGTTTCCTGACATGGCGGTAACAGATTCTTGTATTTTGTTGTACGATTGTGTCCATGTTATTAGAGAGTTTTATTCAGAGATACGTTCCATGTAAAAAACGCAGATTATGTTTGAATATCTGAATTCTATATGGATCAACATTTCAGATTTACAATTGTATTTGTGTTTTTCATGTATTAATTAATTAACATAAATAAATTAGAAAATAATCAAAGAAATGATCATTGTACATACGTTGGTTGTCCAAGTGACGCAAATCACAAGCATTTTTTTGAGTCGAATTAGAAGTGACGTTAAATCTGTGAAAAACTGACGCAAATCTTCCGACGTTAAACTAAACGTCATTTGAATAACCGATGCAGATAACTTTAGCGTCATGCGATGAGACGTCGGTTTCCAAACTGACGCCAATATATTAGAGTCACTTGAAAACCGTCGTTAACTATGTTTATAAACGACGTTAAAAGCCTGATTTTTTGTAGTGAAGAGAAAAGGAGATGATGGAAAAGAAGATGATTTTTTGTAGTGAGAGAAAAGGAGATGATGGCAAAGAAGATAATAAACTTCGAGAGGAAGAAGAAAACTTGAACACTAGGAAAAAGAAATCAAAGAAGAAGAAATGGAATGTGAAGAAAAAAGACAAAGAAGAAATAAATAAAAACTATAATAAGATGATGTAAGAGAAGACGAAGATGATAAAGATAGAGAGAGAGGGGGAATGAGGAAGAAGAAAAATCTGAAATAGAATGTAAGGAAAATTAGAAAGAAAAAGAAGAATAGCGAGTTGGAGGATATGAAGACACAAGAAACGATTGAAGAATAAAAATTGGAAATTGAAGAAGAAGCAGAAAAATTAAATGATGATGACAATGAATAAAAAAGAAGAAGATGAGATCACTATAAAAGAATAAAAGGGATAAGAAAACAACAATTACAAAAAAAAAAAAAAAAAAAAAAAAACAAATCAAGAACTAATTTGTAATGTGAGATTCACGTGTCTGTCTTAGGGGGAGTTATAATGTGGATTTAGGTTTAGGGTGTAGGTTCTTTAATTAAGGGGAGGGGGCTTATAATGTGGTTTGGATTTAGAGTTTAGGGTTTATATTGATGGTTGTAGGGTTTAGTTTCTGGTGCATTTTTAAAACTTTGAATTATAATAAAAATATATCAAAATTAAAAGTCATTGATCATAAATTTATATCTACCATTCTAAAAAAAAACTCATAAATAAAAAAAAAAAACTAAAACAATAAAAGCAAATCTATTATCAAAAGATAACAACACAAATAAAATATATTTTTAAAAGATCTCGACTATATAAAGATAAAAGCTATTTCACGAATCCTTCAAAATCTAAACTATCAAATGAATTGATAAGTGAAATATAAGACATAGATAAGAAGGAATAAAAACACGAGTAGAATAAAAGAATACAAATGGATAAGAAGATCAGAAACTTCAAGAAGAAGAAGAAAACTCGAAGAGGAAAAAGAAAACAAAGAAGAAAAAATAAAATGTGAAGGGAAAGAAGACAAATAAGAGATAAATAAAAAATATAATAAGATGATGTAAGAGAAGACGAAGATGATAAAGATAGAGAGAAGGGGGAATGAGGAAGAAGATAAACCGGAAAAAGAATGTAAAGAAAATTAGAAAGAAAAATAAGAATAGTTAGTTGGAGGATATGACGACACAAGAAATGATTGAAGAACAAAAATTGGAAAAAGAAGAAGCAAAAAAAAAGATGATGACAAAAAAAATAAAAAATGGAAGAAAAAAAAAGATTGGATCACTGAAAAAGAATAAGAGGGAGAAGAAAACAATCATTACAAATTTAACTATCGAATGAATTGATAAGTGAAATACAAAACGTAAACAAGAACGAAAAACATGAGTAAGAGAAAAGAAGATGATGGAAAAGAATATGAGAAACTTCGAGAGGAAGAAGAAAACTTGAACACTAGAAAAAGAAATCAAAGAAGAAAAAATGGAATGTGAAGAAAAAAAAACAAAGAAGAAATAAATAAAAACTATAATAAGATGATGTAAGAGAAGACGAAGATGATAAAGATAGAGAGAGATGGGGAATTAGGAAGAAGAAAAATCGGAAATAGAATGTAAAGAAAATTAGAAAGAAAAAGAAGAATAGTGAGTTGGAGGACATGAAGACACAAGAAACAATTGAAGAATAAAAATTGGAAACTGAAGAAGAAGCAGAAAAAAAGAAGATGATGACAACGAATAAAAAAAATAGAAGAAAAAAGAAGAAGATGAGATCACTATAGAAGAATAAAAGAGATAAGAAAACAACAATTACAACAACAAAAATAATAATAATAAAAAAAAACAAATCAAGATCTAATTTGTAATGTGAGATTCATATGTGTGTTTGAGGGGGAGTTATAATGTGGATTTGGGTTTATGGTGTAGGTTCTTTAATTAGGGGAGGGGGTTATAATGTGGGGTTTGGGTTTAGGGTTTAGGGTTTATATTGATGGGTGTAGGGTTTAGTTTTTGTTGAATTTTTAAAACTTTGAATTATAATAGAAGTATATCAAAATTAAAAGTCTTTGATTATAAACTTATATCTACCATTCTAAAATACACTCATAAATAGAAAAAACTAAAACAATGAAAGTAAATCTATTATCAAAAGATAACAACACAAATAAAATAGATTTTTAAAACATCTCGACTATATAAAATAAAAACTATTTCACGAATCTTTTAAAATCTAAACTATCGAATGAATTGATAAGTGAAATATAAGACATATACAAGAAGGAATAAAAATACGAGTAGAATAAAAGAATACAATGGATAAGAAGATGAGAAACTTCGAGAAGAAGAAGAAAACTCGAAGAGGAAAAAGAAAACAAAGAAGAAAAAATAAAATGTGAAGGGAAAGAAGACAAATAAGAATAAATAAAAAATAGAATAAGATGATGTCAGAGAAGACGAAGATGATAAAGATAGAGAGAATGGGGGAATGAGGAAGAAGATAAACCGGAAAAAGAATGTAAAGAAAATTAGAAAGAAAAAGAAGAATAGTGAGTTGGAGGATATGAAGACACAAGAAACAATTGAAGAATAAAAATTGGAAAAAGAAGAAAAAAAAGATGATGACAAAGAATAAAAAAATGGAAGAAAAAGAGATTGGATTACTGAAAAAAAATAAGAGGGAGAAGAAAACAATCATTACAAAATTTAACTAATTTTGTGTGTTTTCATAATTTATAAGTTCATATCAAATTAACAGAATGTTAAGCTATTACTTCTTTGCAAAATAAATTCTTTGCAAAATAAAGACATTACAAAAATATGAAAAGTAACTAAAAGTAAAATGTGTCAATCTAATATTAATTGAAAGGATTGGAATTCTGAAACATCTTTTACCCGCGCCTGCGTAGGCCAACCACCTAGTTCACCATATATGCGTGTTGCTAGCAAGGAATTTCCGGGTGGAGGGTTCTCACTTCCTTTGTTTTTTTCTTTTTTCAATATTTTTATTTGTTTCAATGTAAGATACTAAAATTGATGAAGATGTTCTAAGAGTCCTTGTTCAAAACATGACAGTAAGAAAAAAATTAATAAAAAAGCTTAATTTGGTGAGTAGTCATATTGAGCGACATATTTAAGAATTTAGTACATCATGATATTATATTTAACACAATATTTTTTTTTTAACGAAAATAACCTTCAGAAAAATTAAACGAAATTGGCATGAGAGAGCTATCTAGGAGCAATGTAGGGCATCCGAGGAATAGCTCCGACAACATCAATGGTCGTCACCTTTGGCTTGATTGAGTTTCTGCGCTTGATACATTTCAGCAATCTGAAAATATATAAAAACATAATAAGAAACTTTCTGGAGAAAGGCATCTATAGATGAATGTGGTTAGGGTGAGATGCTGTCACCTGGTGAGATGATGTTGCTTCCTCTGGCTTCTTGTCTTTCCTCACACGGACTAGACGAGGAAAACGTAGAGAAATTCCCTTTGAACCAAACAAAAAGGGAAGCAGCCACAATAGGTATCAACTCAAAAATAAATGAACTAGCTCAATCGAAACAAGAAAAGAAGTCGTATAATGTTGGAACCTTATCAGGGTCTACAATTCCGATAGCTGCACGATGCACAGGGCTTATTGTCAAGTCAGCTGCTTTCACTTCCCACACCTTCAATCAAGCATATTATTTAGCTTGCATCAACACACTTGGACCCATAAGATAGAACGTTGAAGCAGTTACTCATAGTCTTAAAAGGAAAACATAGAGTTCTACCTCGGTGGGCTCGAACCAAACATCTGGATTGAGACCGTCATCAACTCGGTAGTATTGCTGGATTATATTATTTGAACCATTACGATCATTAAGAACTCAGGCAACAGAACATAAATGATCGTACTGCAAATAAATAGGCCAGAGAGAAGAAAGAAATATCTTACTTTTGGAGTAGCAATCACTTTAGAGCAAAGACTGGAAGACAGCTCTTGAAGATCCACATCGGAGAATCCAGTACCTAGTAGCCCAGTTCGTAAAAAACAATTTATGAGAGAAACTTAACAACAGGACATACAAAAAAAAAAACGCCAGGGTGCATTAGACTCACCAATATTACAAATGCTCTGGAATTCTTCCTTATCAACATCATAGCACGCTAGTAAAAATGCACCAAAGAAGCCTACAAGGAAAGAATATAGCTTAAGTTAACACATCGAGGGTGAAATTGTATCATCTACACGAATGGGTTTTCAGCTGTGCGTTTCCCACGTCCATGGAAAGCAGCGATTGGTACAAGATCCACAGAATCCCCAATGCTGCTGCATAAATACAAATAGATAACCGTAGGGTTAGTTAGTAAAGGACACTTCTATCTACACTTTTCAAACAAATCCGTAAAAAAGAACCTGTCCATATAATCCTTCTTCAGTTTTAGCCAATTATTTGATCGCTTTGCAGGCTCATAGGTGGCATCCGAGTACAATGTTTTAATCATTAAACCTTCACAGCTGCAAAATAACATACACAGGATGAAGAACTAAAACAGCCTAGAGATAATGAGGCAGAGGTCAATGTCATATGGAGAAATAAGTAAGAGAGAGGAATTCAAGACAAGCATAGTCAAATTGCAAACGTATCATATCCTTTTAAACATGCAGAAGACACCCTCCAAAATAAAATATCCCAAAACGAGTAAAAGAGGCTGCTGCATAGAGGATGCTAGGCAATAATTTACAGCAAAAGTTTATTGCAATTGTTAGAGATGTCCACGAGTGTCAGATACATACCCAATGTCAACAGAAGCGTTAAGAAACTCTTGTATTTCACCATTATCGCTGGATGTTAGAGCAGTTGCAAACTGGAAATACCCAGGATCTTCCTCAAATGATTCGTATAGCCTCTGATAGAAGCAAGGTGCAAACAGATGATTACGTATTTGCATAACAACTGCTTTACTGATATCAAAGAAAAAGAAAACCTGTTTAATGATTTACTGATATGGCTCACCTCTCGGCGAATGTTCAGATTCTCTTGGATAAGTAGTTGGCCATTTAGATATAACACGTCAAAAGCAAAGATGCATACGTCAACCTTGATATTACTGACGTTCACATTTTTATGGGCTCGAGTGCTCAAAGTCTGAAAAAAACAACAAGAAATATAAAAACTTAAACAGCAAGTCAGATAGTAAAAGTAGCTAGCTTCATTCAGAGTAAATTAACCATCTCCAGGTGAAAAAAAAAGTATTACAACCGCTGATATGTATTTCAACAATCCTCTTCGGCACCGAAAAATAAACTTATGCATGATCTGGCATAAGCAGAAATTAGGTGAATCACCGAAACTTTCCGCAAAGGGTGCCATACAATATCCAAAAGTGTAACAAGGTTTTTCAGTTATGTTGGCAAAGAAATAATTGGTTAGTCCGTGTCAAAAACCGCAAAATCTGGTCTAAAAGAGCCTCATTACAGCTAAGCTTATTTTGATAATTCTTTTGCTAACAAGAAGAAAACTAGAATGTTCATCTTTTGCAGACACAATTGAAGATTGCAACCATACTTGAAGAACAGAGCCTTGCTATGAAGTTACCTGGAGTGGTAGAAGTTTATTTTTCTCCCTATAGAAGGCAACAACCTCGCAATCCAGAATAAAAGATTTCACAGAGGGCTTTTTTAACCTGCATAGAGAAGATTCACTAACTTCAGTCGAATGATTGGCTCTTTCAAATGTTTTCAACAAGTAACACCACAAAGTGTACCTTGATAACACAAGCGCAACATCAGGGTACTTCCCAGTGTTCCGTTCAGCATGTCTACTGAATATCTCGAATGTACCATCCTCCATATAATGTATCTGCAACAATTGATTGATGAAAAGCCAAAGCATTACAGCACCTAAAAATAACTATGCTTCATACAGAAACAAATACTTCACCAGCGCACGTTCACCATCATATTTGTATTCGCATGTGAAAACGGTGTCCCTGAATTTCTTAAGTATCAGATCTACACTTGTAGTTGCTTTTGCAAGCATGGGTCTAACTGGAATACCCGGTGTAAAGGTACAAGTCATAGGAAGATTCCACACACCACTAGTTAGAAGAGCACTAACAATAATGTCATAGACAGGAAACACAGAGAATACTTCTTTAACAATCTTTGCAGCCTACAAGGACATAGAAGAAGGATGAGTTAGGAAAGAGGTGAAAAATTACAAAAGGTAAGATGCGAGGTCTCTAGAAGAATACTACATAGAGAGCCTAAAGCCATAAGTAACATCCTTATGGATTTTGATATAAAAATGGAAACGAAAAAATAAGAGAGGGAGCAAACCTCATCTAAAGGATTCTTCGTATTTCGGGGTGGCTTAGAGTGCTCTTCGTTATATACAGCGGCCTGTCCCAAGGCAGCTAAAACAGTTTGACGTGAGAACCCTAACCGCAAATTTTCCTGCATTGTAAAACCAGACGGGTGGAATAAGAAACCCAAGGAATGAGCAAAAAGAAAATTTGTTACCTGAAGTAGACGAGTTAAGTAAAGGGGTTCACAATCTGTTGTTGCCACAAGAAGTGACTTCATTAGATCCTTCTTCTTATCCTTACAACCTTTTCCAGATTCCTGCGATACGACAACATAGTCTAACTAATCAGAAAGAAAGAACAACCAAAACGTTTAAAGAATTCTAAAGCCAAAAACAATAAAGGATCTTAATTACATTTGCGATTTGCCGTAGTGTATCGGCAACCTTGACAACAGTCAATGGTTTGGGAATCACAATCATAGTCTAAGACGAACGGCTCCCTTTTGCTACAAGCCCCAAGTCTCCCAGTTCCTATAAAACAACAAGTGATACATTGATCGACAAACACACATTCCAGAAGTCGACTTTCTAATTCCAAAGCACATTCCACCAACCAAACAAGGATAATAAGGCAAGTCATACCGTATTCTGCTGTACAACTTGCGCCTCAGTTCTACCAAAAGCCTCTGAGATTGCCTTGATAATGGAGGAACCCTTACCAATTCCCAATTTTACACCTTCATGAGCAGGGGCAATCTCATTCGAAGCAAGATAAAGAGTAGGGAGCAAATCTTCCGGAGTAGTGGCGATAACCGTTCTCAACATGTTACAAAGAATATCAGTGATCACAATCCGGCCACTTTCAACTGAAATCAGATCAAAAGCCAAGGCGAGAAACATAAAGGGAACTCTAGAATTCATATAGAACCCTAGACGGCGTATCCGATCTGGTTTTTAAGGAGTCAGAAACAAGAACCAGGGTTTCGACTTTCCTTTTCTTCGGCGAGGGCGACCTAGTAGAGATCTGGGGCTTCTTCTTCTTCGCGTAAGCATTCGACATGAGAACGTCAAATGCGGAGGGGTGGTGGGACGAAGTCGACATCGTGTTGTGATAAGCAAGAGCTTTCTCCAGAAGAGTGAAGAAGAGAATGGATCGATTGACAAACAAGAGAGGGATAGACAGAGAACGAGAGAGGGGGGTAGAAGAGTCTATAGAAGGACGCGAGTACATACACGTTTAGGGTTTTTAACAGGCCTCAAACAATATCGGTCTGATTGGGGAAAAAGGTTGCCTTTGGAAGAAAATAAAGTTATGGGTGATTTGGTTAGTGCCTACGTTCTAAAAATCCCGGATTTATCCTCTCCTTGATTAATCGTTCCTTGACACTATATTGTCAAATGTTGGTTGACCGATTTTATCCAATTAATTATAAAACGCATCTATTAGTTTGGAAAATCATATATATTATTCTGAAATCTGTTTGACTTAGTTTATAATTATTTGTAAAATTTGGCCCAAAAAGATGTAAGTACATTCTATTTAGAGTTATCTTAACCAAAAGAACATGTGGCTAGTAGTTTTCGACAAATCGATTTGAGGATTATCATTTAAACATAAATTCTAACTATTTTTTTTATCTATTGTAGTAGATGTGAATTTGGAAAAATATTTAATCTAAATTGGAAATATATGATTTTCATAGTAACATGTTATCTTATATATATATATAAAACTAGTAGTCTACCCGTGCAATAGCAACACATAATTATGTATTATAATTTTTTTTCAGTTTAGTTTTCTTTTGGTGTTCAATTAACAGATGGGTAGTGTAGATTATTTGAACTTTGAGAGTTTAAATCTACTCTCAGAGTTTCAACTCAAACCTCTGGAATATCACTCTCTGTGATGATGATGATCTTCATCGTAGGTGTTGAAAGTATATTTGGAACTGGTATTGTCAAGCTGGAATGGTTGGAGGATGACTTACCCTGGCTGTTGAATATTATGAGACAATTATGACAGGTCAGAGGCACTTTCTCACCAGAACTTCCGGATTTTTCGGAGATGTTGCCTTTACCTGTTTGTTCCTCTGCTCATCTTCTGGTTCTTTCGGAGTCAATTACAGTGGATATGATAAAGACTTCCCTGTCAGGCATGCCATCTAGTAAAACTCCAGGTCCTGATGGCTTTCCAGCAGAGTTCTTCAGAGCTACTTGGGGCATTTTGGGCTCAGAGATTACCACGGCGATCTTAAATTTCTTTGAGTCTCCCTTCATGCCCAAATCTCTAAACTCGACCTCTCTTGTGTTGTTGCAGAAAAGACCAGGGGCTGAAGAACTAAAAGACTATAGGCCGATATCTTGTCTCAACACAATTTATAAGCTCATAACTTGTCTTCTGGCTAAAAAGCTCAAGTCAATTCTCCCTGATTTGATAGTTCCAAACCAGATAGCTTTTGTCAAAGATAGACTCTTGTTGGAAAATGTTCTGCTGGCATCTGAGGTGATCAAGGGCTACCATAAACAGAACCTCACTCCAAGAATGACTTTGAAAGTGGATATTTCCAAAGCTTTCGATTTCGTCAGATGGGACTTCGTTCTTAGTGTCTTGCAGGCTCACAAAGTCCCTTTGGATTTTCTTCAGGCTATAAGATCATGCATTTGCTCCCCTTCTTTCTCAGTGAGTATCAATGGAACAACCTCAAGGTATTTCAAAGGGAAGACAGGTCTTAGGCAAGGGGACCCTCTCTCTCCGTCTCTGTTTGTTATGGTGATGAATGTTCTATCTTTGATGCTGAACAAAGCGGCGGCGGATGGAGTTTTTGTCTATCATCCAGGTTGTGAAAATCTCGAGCTTACACACCTATCTTTCGCTGATGACTTACTTATTTTTCTCGCTGGAAATTTGGATTCTCTGAAAGGTGTTTTCCGAGTTTTGAAGCGTTTTGAGGAGCTCTCAGGTTTGGCGGTAAACATCTCAAAAACAAGTCTCTTCTGTTCAGGAGTTGATCCCTTAACCTTGGCCGAAATTGAAACTACAGTGGGTCTGGTTCCGAGTGCTCTGCCAATTCGCTACTTGGGCCTTCCTCTATGTTCTAGAAAACTTTCTGTGGCAGATTGTGATCCGTTGATTACTCAAGTCAGAAAAAAGCTAAACAGTTGGACTCATCGGTTGTTAAGTTTAGCAGGAAGATATACGTTACTCTCCACAGTCATTCCTGGCATTGTGGGTTTCTGGAGCTCGGCGTTCTTCTTACCAAAGGCCGTAATCGGCAAAATCAACTCCCTTTCAAGTGCTTTCTTCTGGCATGACTCAACTGATACCGCGAGAGGAGCTAAAGTATCTTGGTTTGATATTTCTTTCCCTAAGAAGGAAGGAGGTTTGGGGTTGAGGAATTTAAAAACCTGGAATGAAACCTGCGCGTTAAAGCTTATTTGGATGTTGTTTTTCAGGGCAGGATCTATTTGGGTAGCCTGGATCAGACACAAATATCTCTCTCATTCCCCTTTTTGGGCATTGAATGGAAAAAACTACGAGTTTTCCTGGATGTTCCGTCAAATTCTGAAGCTTCGTGGTAAAGCAAATCCTTTAATCAGAAATTTGATCGGTAATGGCGATGACACATTCTTTTGGTGGGATCCATGGACTCCTTATGGGCCATTGATCTACTACATTGGCTGTGAGGGACCGGCTTCAATGGGCATTCCTCTTTTCTCTACAGTCAGTGAATTAATAACAACACAGGGATGGACTTTACCGCCTCCAAGATCTGAGAAGCAGTTAAATCTCCAGGTGTTCATTACTACTCTAATACCATCAGCCTCAAGCGATAGAACGGTTTGGCTCGTTGATGAGGTGATCCAAGACTCTTTCTCTTCTCGTCAAGTATGGGAGTGTATCAGGGAAAAGAAACCAGTGGTACCATGGGCGAATCTTATTTGGCATAAAGCGAGGGTCCCTAGACATGCCTTCTCGGCGTGGCTCTTTGTTCTTAATCGCAATCCAACACTTGATCGTTTATCGAGATGGGACTACGATATAGAACAAACATGTCTCCTTTGTGGAGTAGCTGATGAATCGAGAGATCACTTATTTTTCAGCTGTCCTTTCTCTCATCAGGTTTGGGATGAGACACTCATGAGGTTGGGGTTTCAGTCTCCTCCTTATATTTGGGACGCGGTTCTTCAGTGGATACCAATGGCGTCTCCTTGCTCAGACATATCTTTGGCCTTACTTCAGGCGTGGCAAGCTTGCATCTACGAAATATGGCATGAACGGAATAGAAGATTTCATCAAGGAGTCACCTTCCCAGCAAGGAAAATCATTCGGCTGGTCTTCTCTGTATTCCATGACAGAGCTCTTAGTCTTTCTCTGCAAAATCCGGGCAGGGAAAGTCTTCTTTTGTGCTGGCGCTAATATGTATTTCAGCTAATTCTATTATGTATTCTAGATGAGTGGTTTCATCTGGTTCCTTTGTAAACTTTTATTATAATTCAAGCAAACCCTTTAACAAAAATAAGAAAACTTGGCTCGTTTCCATGGATTGGTTGCGTCTGACAAAAACATTGTTTCTCCAAGGTTTACTCAAGTAATTGGACTCCCACCCCCTCTGGGTAGACTCAGTCCTCTTACGCTTACCGTTTCGGTGTGTTATCTCGCAATAAATCTCTATTCACTTTTATATACTTTCTTAACACAGAAAAATACAGAGGTCTCCAATATCTGTAGTGTGTACTGTCATTTCGTTTTTAAACACCTTGAACACCAAGAACCGCTCCGTAAGCGCCATCCCACTAGTCGAGCAGCGTTGCATGTACCACTTGACAAAATAAGTTTCACCTGTGGGTGACTCCACCAAGCGCTCGCTTCTGCCACATTTACACAACCGATCCCAATCCGATTGCAAAAGCTCTGGATATAATCCAAAGTAGGAGTCATGCGCTATGTGGTTTTCAAGATCCCAAGATCCTGTGATCTTGCCTCCGGAGCCGGGTATGGAGAACATGGAGTCTCTCATGGAGTACATGACTCGGGAGGAGAAGAAGCCTGGATTGGGATTTGGTTTAGGGTTTTTAATAGGCCTCAAACATTATCGTCCGATTGGGGAAAAGTGAAACAACCAACATTTTTTTTTTCTTTTGGTTATTTTTTTAATAAATTAACTAATTAACAATTCAGCGGAAGTCTTAAAATAAATAAATAAATAATAAATCAGGTTCAACAATGAATTTAAATAAAGAATAAAAGAAATATTAGCAACCTAAAAACCATATACTAGCAAGTCAAATAATACAAAACAATGCAAAATAAATAAAAGTAATAAACATCCTATTATCCCTTCTTCAGCCTTGATTTCGCGATCACACAAATCTTTTACGTGCAACACATTGGAATGGAGTTGCATAAGTATTTATTTTAGTGAGGCAATCACTCTGCCTACAGGCCATTTACGCAATTTACTAGACATTTAAATAATTATTATAAACTCCAATAATTATTAAATTCTATTTTCCAATTATTAAATAATTCTTAATAATTAAAAATTCAATTCGCAATTATTAAATAATTCTCATAATTAAATAATAATTTTCCATATTTTAAATAATTAATATAATTATTTTAAACCATTTAATTAGTTAAAATACTCATTAATTAATTAAATACGAATTTAACCAAGTAACCAAATAACCAGATTAACCAATTAAATTAAATCAATTTAAACCAATTTTGATTTCAATTGAACCGGACCGAACCGGTCAGTGTCAAGCGACACCCGCTTGACGTCGGTCGACACCAGCCACTTGTGTCGACCGACACTAGTTCCATAGACCGATTCTTCCTTCAACAAAACAGCACGAAATCACATAAAACAACAAATTCACACGAATTACACCCAAACAACACTAGATAACACATAATCAACATGAACAACTCAAGAACAATTACCCAATCAAACCAAATCTAGCAATTGCGGACCTACAGTCATGCACTCACCTCAAATCGGATTGAAACAAAGAAAGGAGATGAACACAACGAAGAACAGCAACAAGGAGCCTCATATTCGACGAAGAACTCCACAAATCTCCAGAAAATCGCCCCTTTCTCTTCTCCACGGCACAAAATGACAAAAAGGAGGAAGAACTCGACGGCTGGCTCTTTAAATCGTGAGTCTAGGGCTTTTCCCCCCTAAACCGGCCCAAACCGAACTTAAACTGAACCAGAAATTTATTTTAACCATTGGTGTCGGTCTACGGATGATACAGTTGCCTTTGGAAGAAAATAAAGTTATGGGTGATTTGGTTACGGCCTACGTTCCCCTACTTTTTTTTTTTTTTTTTTTTTTTTTTTTTTTGCCAACAATCCCCCATTTATCCTCGATTAATCATTCCATGACACTGTATCGTCAAAACGTTGGTTGACCAATTTTATCCGATAAATTATAAAAACTAGGGAATGAAGCCCCACACAAGCGCGGGGTTGTTGCAAATACAATTGTGTTTTTGTGTATTCTATGATTTAAATTATGATGGTTTAATATTTAATTTTGGTGGTTACGTTTTGAGTTAATCCAATTATTTACATTAGGATGTTCAATATGACTTTTAAAAGATGTTAACTCTATACTTTATCTCTGGTTCTTTTTTCTAAAATTTAACATTTAAAATATGTCACTTATTCAGTTTCATTGGACTATAAGTTAACATTAAACTTGAAGGAAGAAGTGTAAAACATGGTATAGAATCACATTTTGACTCGATTGGTAAAATACATATTTGTTTCTTTTGTAGATTAGTGCTTGATGAGGATGATCATTGATTCTTATATACAATTTTATATTTGTAAATTTAAATTATATTTTTAAAACAAACATGTTATAATCCTTAAAATTTACAATTCTTACTTCTAATTTCTTATTAGCTTTCTACTATATTATCTAAATAAAATTATATCTTTTATAACTCTTAAGCACATTATAATTTTATACAGAAGATAAATCCTCTATATAAATTTTGATCCATAAGGTAACTATATACGATTTAGAGTAAAATATATCATTTTTCTTTCACTAATTTATATTACAATTTCTATTAAATTTTGATACCAAGTTATCACATACTTTATATTTCTTAATTAATTTTTGTGTATTTTTCTTAATTTATTTTCTGTATTTCTTTAGATTATATGTAAAGAAATATGAATATTCATATATTAAATATCTAAAAAAAATTAATAAATTTTTGGCTGATGTGGATAGGTTAGAAGAAGAGAAAACTCTCCTATTATATATAAGACTAGTAGAGGATCCGCGTAAATGCGCAGTGACGTTGTAGGGTTTTGTGAAGAAAATCTAAATTTTAAACCTGAGTCCGATCCAAAAACCCTAATCAAAATTTTTAAAAACCCAAACCTTTTTAATATGTCTAAACCCGAAATCCAAAAAATAACGAAAACCCTGAACCGAACCGACCTAAAAACCATAGTCAAAAATTGAAAATACCCAAAGCTTTTTAATTTTGTTTAAATCTGAAAAAACCCAAAATCCAAAAAATCTGGAAAACCCTGAACTAAACCCAAAAAAAACTCGAACCCAAACTGATTAGAAATAAATAAAAAACGAACAGAAATCCATAATTTGATTAAATCCACAATTTGGTTAAAATTAGGGGGAAATTGCCAAATCTAGACAACAATTTCATTTTTACTAGTCAACTAGACCACAAATTGAATCAAATGCAAAACTAACCTCCATGGGTAGTAAAATTACCCCCACACTCCCTCATGACCAAACAAAAAAACCCATGCCCGATTACGATTTTAACCTCCGCACCGGGTAGATCTACGATGGAGGTATACCTGATAGACAATATTGGAGGTATACCTCATAATAACATCTTAAATTTTAAATAACAATTCAATTAAAAATATTTTTATACAAAAACAAGTATGAATAATTATAATATATACATTATCATCTACGAAAAATATGAGTGCATACAAATGAATCATTTATACATAAGCAAAGACATGTAGATTAAAATCTATAAAAATGTGTGAGGTCTACCGAGTAAGTTTACTATATCATTAAATTTCAATTTTAATTATAAAATCGAAAAAAAAATTTGTTGAAAATGTAATTATATATATACAATACAGAAAACTTGCATCTATATAAAATATAATTTCATAGACAACTTGCATCTATATAAAATATAATTTCATAGATTTGAACCAATTGAACTATGAAAAAAAAACAAATTAAGTTAAAAGCCTATAAAACCATGGGAGGTCTACCAAGTAGGTCTACTAAATAATCAAATCTTAAATTTAAATTAAGAAAAAATTAAAAATAATTTGAAATATTTGTTTCATAAATAACGAAATAATAGACATTTAACATCTATTAAAAAAAAATATGAGAAAAATTCATGAATCTACAAATATCATGAGTATATAGTTCATAAGGATAAGAGTTTGAGTGGATTGTTTAGGGTTGAATGGTGTAAGTTGTAGGGTTTTGAAAAAATTTAGATGAATAATTCTTTTTGATTGGTTTTACGATTCAGTGTTCGTTTATTTGTGATATACACTGTAAATTGACAATATGACAAGCAAATCGTTGCAAAATTGTATCTAAATTATTTGATTTAGGGTTTAGGGTAAAATAGACCTAACCAGTAGAGTAATAGAGTAGACTGCAGTGGAGGTCTACCAACCATTTTAACCTAGCGGGAATTCCGAAGTTTCAAACCGACAGCTGAGATCGAAACGACGTTTCGGTAATTTCGTGGTAGACCGTAGGGGTAGACCTCATTTTAGCGTAAGCCAGAAATAACCGGCTCAATTGTTTGCGTAGAACCGTAAATTGAACGCCTGAATCGATATTAATTGAATTAACTGGCTAATTTGTTGGTTGAAGCCGATATAACCAAACCAGTACATCAAACTGACGTATATAAAGCGATTTTAACCCTCAGCAGTTAATTTCTAGGTTTTGTTAGAAGTTTGCCAGTCGGCGCTCTTGAGAGGTGATTTCTTTGATTTCCATGTCCGACGCCGTTTGCTCCGCCTCCGTTTGTTTACGCCGATAATATCTCCGCCCTATACCTAGTGTCGTTAATCTATCTCTGTTCAGTCGTCTAACGGTTTTATTTTCGAATCGGCGCCGTCTTTTGTCCATCGTCTTTGGTCCGCCGTCTGGTGAATTCGTCGTCGTTGGCTAACAGTGTCGGAGCGCTCCACATCGATCCCCTTTCCCGGTAGTAAATCCGTCACTCACTCATCTTACCATTTCGGCTTCATATAACCACATCTACTCTCACCGAACTCATGTGTCTTTTTTGTCGTTAGATCTCGTTTCAGATATCATTCCCGCTGCTTTGTGATAAGCACTTAGGACTGTCATTTTCTCGGAGAGGTACAAGTATAATCTATATCATAACCTCTACAAATCATATCTGTCTTTCTTCTTCGTGATTTCTTCTTCTTTTCGTCTTCGTGATTTCTTCGTGACATTCAAGGAAAAGGAACTCCAAAGGGTTTGGGCTACAATCGCTGATGGAGTGTACTCTTCCTCAAGGTCCAAGGCAGCTCAGATCAGGAGCCCAGTCTTGAGATATGTGCACAAGGCACTTGCCAACACCTTCTTTGCAAGGAAGGCAACCGGGACAATCAACGAGGGGGAACTCAAGTTTCTTGACATGGGAATCAAGCCCTTCTCTCACGCACAAGCGATGGCAAGAGGATCAAGGGGAGATAGGTCTGACACAGGGAACTTGATGCCTTTCCTTGACCACTCCTCACCTACAAGATCACAGCTTACAACACTAGGCACCAAAGAGGAAGAAAGCTTAGTGTTGGAGGGCTCATCACACCTATCTTGTGTGCTGCTGGAGTAACCCAACTGATAGAGAGCTACTGAACCAGGTTGGATGGACATCAAGTTTTGCAAGACCAACCTCCTCATTGAGCACAAGGAGTTGGATGGGAGGTTCCAATTCAAGTTCACACATCCATTGGTGGACCCTCCAAGCTTCTCCTGCCCAACCCAGAGCTCACCACAGTTGTAGGGGTGAGAACATTGACTTCAGACCCCCTGTGTACACATTAGTTGGGCATGAGGATGATTTGCGAGAAGAGGAGCCTGAGCTCGATCGAGCTGAGTCGAGCTGAGGTCGAGCTGAGGATCGAGCTGAATATCAGGTCCAGGAGCGCTGATTTGGGTGAGCCTGAGTGCTATTACTTTGAGGAGTATGAGGCTCCAAGGATGAACCCCTCTGTTGTGGCTGCCACAAGAGGATTGGACTTCTCCAAAAGTTCAACAAATGGCAAGGGAAAGCCATTGAGAAGATGCAAAAGTCCATGGACAAGATGGTGAGCAAGATCAAAAGTTTGGAGAAGAAGGTTTCTGGTTCTTCAAGCAAGAAGAAGTCCAAGGCCCCCACATTCCCTAGGAGTAGTCACTCCTCACCACCCAAGGAGGCTCCCTGCCCAAGAGCCTCACAGAGCCTCTTCTTTCGAGCCAAGGAGAAGGAGAGACAACACGCAGAGAAGGAGGAAGAGTTCCAAGGCCAGACGCTCCAGCTCGACCACCGGACTCGATCGAGTCCAAACAGAGGAAACTCAACTCGATCGAGCTGACGGTCGAGTTGACTGGGAGGACCCAGTTTGAGAACCCTGGGATTCGAGTACGATCAACCCAGTACCAGGACTTCTCTCAGACCGCTGGACCCCTACAACCGCTTCGAGCGAGCACAACTCCACCAAGGCCAAGGAAGCCACACCACTTTGAAGATGAAGAAGAGAGGAGAGGAGCCACAAGCTCGATCGAGTGAGCCGAACCCAGTCGAGTGGAGTGCTCCTGATGGCCGTCTACCATCTCCAGACCACGACCTAGCCTCCCAGTTCTTTGGGGGGCACTGAGGTATCCAAACACCAACCCTTGTATATACCATTTCATATTTTCTTGCATTTGTTCTTGTTTTTTCTTGGTTTTGCCCTCTTGAATCTTTCACTAAATTTTTCTCACACAAGGGACTGTGTGATTTAAGTTTGGGGGAGGGTTCAAGAGATGATTTAACCTTGTTTTCTTTGTTCTTAGTTTTTCATTTATCTTTTGCATAGAAAAACCAAAAAAATCATAAAATTTTCAAAAAATCCAAAAATATTTTCATCTTTTTGCATTCATATTTGTTAGACTTGTTTAGGATTGCATTTTTCACTTGCATTGTTGATTTGACTTTGAAAACTTGTCCATCTTTTGCGATTTCTTGAGTGCCCTGTTTTTAGATTCTTTTGTGCATTAGGGTGAGATTGATTGAGCAGCAAGAACCATGTTTATCTTGATCATATCACTGCATGCACATCTCATTCAACCATTGCTGTGATTTGATGCATTTCCCTATCTATTTGAACCATAACTTGATCTTTAATTACCAATGCTTGCATTTGATTTCAACTCATGGCTACCACATACATATCTGGACATTCTTTACTTTCATATCCCTTTGCTTGTCCAGATAGCTGATCTCTATCTTTGAGACAGTTACCACACCTTAAACCTAAGCCTTTTCATTTCAAACCCCTTATTATCTCTTGTGCGAATGTGAGAACCTTTCTTGGCTTTGCTTAGCATAAGGTGTTGTGTTTAAACCGGCAGGGGCAGTAGTTCTAGTTGTCTAGTTCTCTTGGGATTGTTTTCAGGCTAAGTTTGGGGGTGCCAACTCGAGCTCGATCGAGTTGGGTGTCAAAAACCAGAAAAGTGGTAAAAGTTGGGAAAAACCCAAAGGAAAAAGAGTTTAGTTAAGTCCAGGGAGTTGGCAGTGTTAAAAGGGTCTAGTAAAGGTTTGGGAAGTTAAAAAAGGAAAGTAAAAAGGGTTCTAAGTAGAATGAAAAGAAGGCAAAGCCTCAAGTGTCAAAAAGGAAAGAAAAGTTCCCTAAGTGTTTAGAAAATCCCAAACCGCTAGATGTTACCTCAAGAAGCCTCTCCCTAGGAAGTTCTTAAAAGAAAAGTGAGCAAAGCTCCTCAGTTTCAAAGGCGAAATGCCAAAAAGGGTAGTTAGGATTTTGTTCTAAAAAGCTCTAAGTGTTGAACTCGATCGAGTTAGGATTAGGCGGCTCGAGCTGCTGTTCTTGCATCATCTTTGGTTCTAACACTTAGCCTTCTGCCAAAGCAAAGCCACTTTCTTGAGAGATCCCTGTTACTAAACCACCATACAAAAGAGACCCTCTTTGTCTCTTAACCCATAAACCCTTGAAACCAAATGAGTTGATTGATCTTGCATGTTTTTGGTTCACTGTTTTTGCTTAATGAATGTTAAAGGGATTTGCTGATTTGAATGCATTGTTTGAGTGACTGTGAAGTGGGATTGATGTTGATAAGCATGGTTAAATCTTAATGAATATCTCTCACCTTGTTGCATTCTAGAATCTCTAAGTTGGACATTTAGCAAATCGCTTTTGAGGACATGTTTTTAAGTGTTGAATCAGCTTGTTTTCAAACCTCATCTCTTTCTTGTTCTATTTGTTTGCTTGAGGGCAAGCAAAGTTCAAGTTTGGGGGTGTTGATGTACTTGCATTTTACATAGTTTTAGCACATCTTTTATGCATCTTTTGCATAGTTTTAGCTTCCATTTGCATCATATCTTGTTCCTTTTCTCTTCTTATGCATTCATGTTAGTTTTAGGTTGCATTTGCATACATATGCATGTTTGGTCCTTTGAAATAGGTCTTTTGGAGCATTCTGGAGCATATGGGACATGAGGAGCATGGAGGGACTTGGCACATGGAAGCAGCTCAACTGGATACGCAAAGGAAGAAGGGAGAAGCCATCTTGAAGACCAGCTCGACCGTCCACTCGACCAACCGGTCGAGTTCCTCAACTCGACCGGCCAAGCTTCAACTCGATCGAGCTGGAAGTCAAAGTCAAACCCGAAAAATGTTGCTTCCCCCTTGACTTTCCTTTGACCCTAAACCTAATCCTCTTGTATTTAAAGGCTCTAAGCCACGAAAAAACCACCAAGCTTTAGATTATTTTGTTTTAGCTTTTTTTAATTTATTGTCTTTTACTTTTTAGAACTAATCCCATCTTTGTGTTCTTGAAGCTCTTGCTTCTTGAATCCTTAGATCCTGGATAATCTCTTTGTATTTGCACTTGCTTATTTCAATAAAAGTTGTTTAATTTCATCTCCTCTTTCTTATGATGTCTCTTTCATTGCATTTGCTTGTGTTTACATTCATGTGTAGTGAGTAGTTACCCATTAGGGTTTGAGATGGGATAGATTAGAGGTTTCATATGCTTAATCCTTCTAGCTTATGGTCTTAATCTAGATTCTCTCTCTTTTGGATAGATCTTAAGGCTACATGACCACTACCCCTGGCTTGTAAGTCCTTAGGCGATCCCCACACGGAAGTGATGGCATTCGCTGGAAAAGATCCACTAAGAGCTCCAATATCTCTTGCTCTAGACAATAGAGGTCTAAGGGGTTGGATGGATTAGTTTGGGCAATGATCCTATGGCCTCCAAGGTTTGATTCTCACTGGCTAACCCCCTGTTTCTGAGATCATTCCTTGGTTGATAGCCTCCACCTTGGGAAAGGGTTGGCTAGGCATTGAGAAGCCCAATATCAAGAGAAGCCTTGATACAAGGAGTTTTAAGAGCTAGATTGATTAAGTGTAGATTCCTTTGATTGCAAAACCCTGTCTTGAACCCTAATTCTCTCTTTATCTTGTTAAAGTCGTCACCTTTACTGCTTTTTGCTCAACTCGACCCTAAACTCGATCGAGCTGGTACTCTGTTCCACTCGACTCGAGTCCTTGGTCGAGCTGCTTCACTGCTTTGTTTACTTTTATTGCACTGCATTTCATTTTTAGGTTGTTAGTGTTACTTCAAATCTATAACTGCTTGCTTGACTTTCTGGTTGTTTCATATTCTCATAGAGTGACAAGTTTCCCATTTTGGATTGATAACCTCTTATACTTCAATGACTATGATGGTTAAGAGGAATTGTTGACTGTGTTTGTGTTTGCATCTTACCACCATCATTTACCACTGATTGCATTCCACTCATCTCATTTCATATCTTTTCACATCCACACACAAACCTTCATCATCAATCATTAAGCTTGATGTTGCTTCCAAATATCAAGAGTTGCTGAACAAGAGCATGAGAATTGAAGATACTAGCTATGGCAATAGCAAACATCTTGGATCAATCTACAACCGCCTACAAGCCCTTGAAGGATCATCTCATGCCAATTACAAGAGAGAGAGGAGTCCAACACCCAACCACCCTCCCTTTTATTGCAATGCCATCACAAGAAGAAGCACTACTCAAGTCCATGAGGACAATGAAGAAGAAGAAAGAGAGTATGAGGAACAATTGAATGATGAAGATGAAGAGCAGAGCATCGACATCAATGCTTCCCCAAAACAGAGCATGGATACACCAAGCCCTAGAGACCCTCGTTTCTCACCAAGAAGTCAAGCTTCTACACTTCCAAGATTGGAAGCAATGCAAAGACCATCACCACCTACTGAAGAAGAAGATACTTGGCAGTATGATCCCATTGATCCCAACAAGATAAGCCCCATGAAGCTTAAAGAGTTCAATGCTAAGGTGAAATCACTTCCATTCTATGTCACTTTTGAAGAAGCTTGGGATAAACATGGTCTAGTGGAGTTCTTTTTCACAACTAGTGAAAACAAAGAAGAGATACACCAACTTTCAGGAAGGCTCGATTTCCCATTGCCCCTCATGGAGTCAATCAACCACCATCACCACCATCATCACCACCACCTCAGTGGTATGTCAATTCCATATCAAGAGAGAAGCTTGCTGAGTTCAATCAGTTTGTCCAAACTCTTCCAGCCAGCATGTCTTTCAAAAAGCTTGGCGCCACTACCCATTCACCCCTTTCTTCCACAACTGCAAGGAGACACCTGAGGACATAAAAGAGCTTTTTGAGAAAGCTAAAGTTCAGCCAACCTTCAAGACCCTCTACAAGATTGAAGACCCAGGTCAATTCTCTATTCCCTGTCAAGTAAATGGTCATTACTTTGATAGAACACTATGCGATTCTGGCTCTTGCATAAACCTCATGCCAACCCAAACCGCCAAACTCCTTGGCATCACACGCTTGCAACCTGCTCAAATTAGTATTGGACTTGCTAACCATACTATAGCCAAGCCAAGAGGAGTTGTTGTTGATGTTCTTCTAGAGATTGGAGATATCAAGATCCCGGTGGACTTTCATGTCATAAACATTCAAGGAGGATGTGACACACCATTGATACTAGGCCGACCCTTTTTGGCCACTGCTGGAGCTGTCATGGACCTTCCAAACCGGCGAATGACCATACCATTCATCACACCAAACAAGCTGTCTTACCTCATCACTGCCCAAGGCCGCCCAAGAGAGCCACCAGACCACACTCAAGGTCACAATGAGACAAGAACTAAAAGACTATGTCTCAGGCCGTGCCCTTACCCCATCTCCAACTAAGAGATCCTATCAGTCAAGCTAATGACTCAAAAGAAGCGCTGCATGGGAGGCAACCCATGAAAGGTGTTTTTCTTTACTTTTCTTTTCAATTAGTTTTAGTTAATGTCTAGTTTTGTTTTGAGATTTGGAAACAGGAATCTAAGAACCACACAATGGTAAAGAAGATATACCACAAGAAGAATGTTCATAGTTGGCGCGACTTGATGGCCGAGCAGAACCTCTCCACGCTCGCCCATGTCCTCTCAAGCCGCCCAACACACCATCCCATCTCATTCCATCTGCATCTCACCCATCCCACCTCACCACACTTGCATTCCATCACTACCATCATTCCACTGCATTCACCATTCTTCAAGTAACACCAAATCAGGTTACATCTTTCTTTTTACATTCACAACCACTTTATTACCTCTTTCTTTAACTCCCTTAATTGGATTTTCTTTCACCGGGACGGTGCAAGTTAAGTCTGGGGGGATTGTCGGTACTAATGTGTTTGTTCATGGTTGTTTTGATCTTATAATTGGTTTTTCCTAACCCACTTTTTCAAAACTTCTGTTTTATTGAGTCAAAACCAGTCCGGGAACAATGAACTTGCTTTGAGATTTGATAGTGTCATGCTAACAATCTATGACCCTAGAGCAAACATCAGCTGAAGGCACAAGCCTAACAGAAGCTCCTAGAGTGGATCGCATGCTAGCTCAGCGAAATTTCTAAGGTAACCAAGCAATCTAGAGTTAACCTCACCCTTAATCAATCTTAATAACTCTTGTCAAGGGGATTGGCATACATGTCGACAGTTCCTTGCTTGATTTTCAATGAGATTTGTCTAAAGAGTTCTCCTCTCTCTCCCATCCCAAATGGTAAGTAATGTTTATGAGAAAAGCTCAAAGAGCACAAGGAAAACAAGTAAGCATGAGGAATGCATATGTCTGTACCTTCATGTCTTATGGAATACCTTAAATCAAACAAGGAACAAGCTAAAGACTTATCCTGTGGTTGAAAGAAAGGTCAATAGAAAAAATAAAATGATACCCTAGAAAAGTAGGGAGAAATTGACCTTTCAAAGTTCTGATGTGAGAAAGAGAGAGGAAAAGAACTCATTGCACTTCAAAGACAATCTTGGAGAAGATCAAGTGGGTAAGAACAAGTTCAATTGATCGATTTTCCCTTGATAAAGAACTCACGCTTTAAATTTCTGCAAGAGGTTAACAATAGAGAGTTTGGATTGCTGGATGAGACTAGTTGGGTTGGTATTGTTGCTAAACTTGCAGGGTGTATGTGAAGCTAACCTTATGTTGACTATGTTCTTAGTGGAATACAGGAAAGGAACCTTTCACAGGATTTTCAAAGAAGCAAGAGAGTTCCCACGTTTTTCAAAACCTCTTCACTAGTTTAGATTCTTTTTGCTTGGGGACAAGCAAAGATCTAAGTCTGGGGGAGTTGATATACCTCTATTTTACCTACTTTTTATGCTATTTTACTATGGTTTTCTAATGGTTTTCTAGTGGATTCTTGTGTTAAAAGGTAGTTTTTATGGATTTATAGTGCAAAGAGTCATTTTAGGTAAAAAGGTGCATTATGGAGCAAAACAGGAGATTTGGACTCTAAACCAGTTCAATGCCCCTGCATCAACTTTGGATGGAGCTAGAAAAAGATCTACTCAATGGATTTCATCAAGACCAGTTCCCTGCGTGCTCTGATTGAGTTAACTTTCCAACGCAACTGGAATGGCTTCATTTGGATGAGTAGAAAAGGAGTTATAGCCAAAAGAGTGAAGGCTGCTCCAGACGGCTATATCGAGAATCAGCGCCGAACGCGCAGACCGGCTGGCCGAGGAACGAATGTTCCGCGCTCGGCCAAAACCGTATCCGTCCGACTGATGTCTCGGCCAAAGTCCAACCACTCGGCCGATCACACAGCACGACCCGGGAAACATGCCCGCGGTCGGCCAAGCCAACGCCACGCCACGCCGCGCACGACCAAGCGCGCGAGCCGGGAAACAAGCCTCGCGGCCGCGCAACCCGTTCCGCGTACCACGGCCGATGCATCCGTCCGAGCCGGGAAAGAACGTCCCGCGTCCGGCCGAGAAACCATCGGCCAAATCTTCTCCGCCGACCAAGCCGGCCGACCATGAAACATCCGGCCCCGACCGTTCCGACTCGGCCAAAGACCCGACCGTCCCGACGACCGTCCGAACGCCGCGGTCGACCCGAAGCCGTTTTTGAAGCCCAATCCGCACAATTCAAGCCCAAAGCCGGCGCCGACCTAGCTAGATTAGGTTTAGCCGCCTTTCATACTTAGAGCATTATAAATACTTCTTTTTAGCCTTGTAACTCAAGAAGGAGAGAGACCACAATCTATTTTACATCTTAATAAAGTTTTGCTTGCTTTTACTTTGTTCTTGCTTGTTACTCTTTCTAGAGAGGATTCGAATCTCTGTTCTTATGAATATGAATTCGATTTCCTTCTCTATGTCTGAGTAGTTTACTTGTTAAGTGATAGGAAGTCAAAGGATAGCATTCATGAATGCTTGATGATTGATCACAATTAGGGTTTTACTTATAATCTCCATCTTTGCTTATACTTAATGCTTGTTGTTAATCTGGCCAATTAGCATATGCCTTTAGGTTGATTTGAGCCTCGACAGTGCTGTATCATTCGCCTGAACTAGTATTTGGTGGGCAATCTCTTTTAGACTGCGACAGTTGATCTACTTGTAGGTTGTGAACAATTGATCTTGATCGAACTAATGCTTGATTTAATCACCTAGGGACATACCAAAAGTTTAGCGACTAGGTAGATTAACAAAGGGGTCGGAGCCTCGACAGTGGAATGATCATACCATAGTGTTTCAAGTTCTAGATTAGCACCTAAGTGCGGTAACCCTAATTGATTGATTTCATGCTTCTTGAATTGCTTATCTCAAGACTATCCTATTGCTTAGCTTTCTCTCCTATTGAATTCTCACTTTTAATTACTTGCATGCTTTACTTTCTCTGCACTCAACCAACTTATACTTTTGCCCTAGCTTGTTCTCAAACTCATAACTTGTAGTGTGCAATCTGGTCCTTGTGTTCGATACCCGTTTACTACTTCTGACCTGTGCACTTGCAGAATCAGGGATAGGAAAGGGGAAGACCTGATCCCGCGATCAACCATGAAAACCAAATGGTCATCATTATTCTACTTCATCAATTAGATAATAAAATAAAAAAAGGAGATGGGTGTCTGTTACCGGTTCTGAGTTTGGATTGTTACTTGAGGTCAATTTCCTCTTCCTCGTGACTGGAGGTTTAGTGTTGTTATTACACTTATCGCTAATTCTCGTTGCTGCATTTGGTTCAGTGTTCACGTCCTTGGTTTTCTTTCTACTTCTCTTAGGTTGAATATTTGCTTTAGCAGTGAGTTTTGCAGCTGAACCTTTGTTTTCATTTGGATTTTTCACCTAAACATGAAAACCAAATCATCATCATGATCCTACTTCATCAATATGACAATAAAAAAAGGAGATGGGTGTCTGTTACCGGTTCTGAATTTGGATCTACATTTTCATTGTTACTTGCGGTCAATTTTCTCTTCCTCGTGACTGGAGGTTTAGTGTTCTTATTAAACGTGTCTGTGCCTACATTTTTAAGACGAACCATTTTCCAACTGCATAAAAAAAAAGGTCTAAGTTACGTAGAAATGTAGACAAAGTTTTTTGGTCAAAGGAAAATCACAATGGTCTGTTTGACAATACCTGCTTCTCTTCTAATTAACCTCCTTGTGATTTCTTTTAAGAGGTTACGCAGGGGATGTTTCACTGAAGGTCATCTTTGTGAAAGAGGTAATATCTATCCATGTACAATTGTTCATTGCTAAACACTTCTTCCTTAGTTTAACCAATCTAAGATACTCCGGAGATCTCATTCGATTATTCAAAATCTTATAATTGTACATGGCGGCAAGCTTAAAATATAACAATTGAGATTCCCGATTTCACCAAACTTTTCAAATATATAAACATTCCCACTTATATGAACAACTAACTTTTACAAAATACAAATCTCAAACAGAATATTTAATCGTCCAATTAATTTTATTTTGACCTCGATTATAATTTGGTTATATAATATAATTAGAGAGTGCCATCTTTTGCAAAAACATGTCTATTGACGCCCTCACATTATTTAAAGATAGATCACATTATTTCCAATAAAGTTTTAGTTATATTTGTCTAGGTTTATGAATATATACGGGTTAGACCATCTTGAACATTTGTAGATCACATTACTTGCAGGTAATCCAATAACTGCGGTCTCTTTATGTATTATGACGTTTTCAGAGCATGTTGAAATCTGGCATCTATTAGGTACGTATCCTACTCAGTTTGGAAAAGTCCCCATGTTGTATTTGTGTATTGATTGTTGATATAGAAAAATATATTTAAGCAAATCGGATCCAAAACAAAAGCTCCATTATTTTAAAAAGTTGACAGAAAAAGAAATGAAATAAATAGAAAACCAACTTTGTAGCAAAATAAAAACACATGGAGAACATAAGCTCGATCCTTGATTGAAAACAATAAATTATTGGAGACTCTTCTGCATGCTATGCTTAACGTCACTTCTCGGTGAGTTGGTGGAGCTTAGCTTCGGTCTTATTTGCTTCGGGATGCTGGCTAAGTAGTCCATCCGGATTGACCAGCTCTCTACTGGCCTCTGTAGGAAGTTTCTTGGGGCAATGCTTCTTTGAAGTGGAAGAGCCGGCTGGGATACCATGCATTGATTCAAAATCATGCTTCGGTGATGGGGTTGAACCATCATCTGAAATGCTTTGGCTGTTACTCTTGACAACTGACAACTAAAACATAGGTGAGAATTCAAAGATTAATCAAAACTTCATATTATGTTCATTTCAATACAAAATGGATTTAACGTGAATGTAAGAGAACAGGGTGTGCTAACCTCCTCGCCATATGCAATGGTCGAACCATTATCAATGGCAGTGAATGGTCCATCGCCAGATTCCGTGTCGAGAATGAGAAGTCCTTTCTTGACCTTATGCACCTTGTAGGTGTCATTCCATACACAATGTGTTCCTTCTCGACACCGACCAGAAACTCGAAACTTTTTCCAACTAAACTCTTGACGTCATCGGGTATTAATTCTGGATCCTGAATCTGTTTTTTTCAATAATAAATAGGCATCTCGTTAAAACGTGAGCTAGTATAACAGGAAAAATATTATGCAGCTTCTGATAATGATATTACCTCATCGTATGATCCGTTTAGCAGGAAGGAAGCTGTTTTATCCACGATGCCATAAGCAACGGAATCAAGAAGCATAACCTTTGTTTTGGCCGAGTCATCCTCTACCAGAAGGTGCAACTTGAACCTGCATATGCAAATATTCCATGTGATCACAATGGCAACTATTATATCTATACTGATGAACCAAAACATTCGAAATTTGGAACTACTCACTTTGCTTCAACAGTTTTGACATTTGATTTGCATCTGTCACAGTACCACACGGGTGCTTTGGGGCGAGGTTTTGTGGCTCCTTCCTTCTTCAGATCCTTGGTGACCCTGAACTGGCACTTTCCACATCCGAAATAATACCAACCCCAGTCGGTATCAATTCCAGTCACTTTGACAGAAATCCTGAATTTCTCTATCTGCGAGGTATTACATTATTTTAGATAAGTAAATCACTACAAATCGTTCAATCTATTTGTCTTACATATGAATGTGTTTACCTCAGTAGCATTCTGAATCTCATACACAGATTTCATTTCCAACGCCAGCCACGCATCTTCCTGCTCCTTCATCCTTTGCTTCTCAGCCTCTTCATCATCCTCTTGGATGACAACAATCGCACCGTCATCTGGCAAGCTGAAGGAATCAAGTACAGAAGGTTAGTTTTCTTCTTCTATATTGTGTAAATTAAAACAATAATCCTGAAATATAGTTTAGACATATTACTAACCCAATCCTGAAAGCATCTGCTTCTTGGCAAATAGGGTTGATGATAAGCTTAGATGCGTCAAAAGCATTAGTTACTTGCATATCACCTAATAGAAATGTTTCATATCTCAAAAATGTTTAAACGAAGTTGATTTGGTTGCAATCAGGTTGATATATAGTTGATGTATAAGCTTGCCTTGATAGAAGTTGAGTTTCGCAAATCTGATCAAACAAATCAATGTTTTCCCATTAGCTTTACTTGCATGCCTCGTACAGTTGGTCAGCGTATCCAGCCCACAGACAGCAGTTGATTCTCTGATCACTGCAAAATTTATTAAGAAAATACTTAGACATATAGAGAATATAACCACAGATTGAACTGATGATAAGTGTATCTATACTTACTTAATGTCCCTAAGCACGCACTCTAGCTTCCGCTTTTCTCTCCCAAGTACAGGAACAGTTTTGATCTCACTGACATCAAGAACCTGTCCAATGACATCTGGAAAACATGTACACAAGTTCCCGATTGGAATATGTAAGTCCTCTCATTTCTAGTCAGCAATTTAATAGTATACATCATATGTAGATTGTAAGCACGGATAGATTACTTACCAATCAAGAAATTGTGATTCAAATCACCATCTAGGATCGTCTGGATAGGTACCAACGAAAGGAACATGTCGTCCACTTTGATGCTGCATATGGTAACGATTGTGTTCATGGACAACCCAATCTTCCAGTTGCTTGGAGTTGGTCGAAATAGCCCGGTTGCAGGAGATACCTGAAAGTTCTCCAACACTTTCCATTCACCAACGACCAGAAGCTTTGATAACCGGCCTATATCCTTCTTCTTAATTCCAGCATGCATTTTAGTACCCTGGAAATATAAGTATAGGTACTTGTCATTATAACGCAAACTGAAACATACGATTAGCATTGTTAATTTACATATAGGTTTTAAACTTACATGTTCATCAGCGAGAACCAGATCCATCGTTTCGCCGGACATGCCGCTGTACTGCCTCCAGGAGTGAATCACCTTAACGCGGACCTTCCATGTTGTCTTGAAAGGTCGGACATCAGAAAGCTTGGCGAAGGCGCATCCAATAGTCATATTTGCGAGGAGGAGGTAAAATAGATGTGTTTGATGTTTGATGACCTTTAATGTGACAAAGGCTACATATTTATAATGTTTGGAGTTGTATCTTATGCCTAGGGCTTCGGAGGTTTCAGAATTGCTGCCCACGGCATATTCTCTTGGATTACAAATCTGTTGAGGTTGGAATATTTCCCTAATCTATTAGTTTATCAATGTAATAATATCTGAAGTGATATCTCGTTCTGATTTCGTATATATTGTATTAACTGCAGGAGCATGTTATGGGATATCTTATTGATATGTCCCGAGGATGAAGGAATTCTTTTGTACATTCCGTTAATCGGACCGTGTTCTTAGGTATGTTTTCTTTACTTGGTGATTTTCGAATGATTTGAAAAGATTTTGGGACGTCCAATAACGGAATTTCTTGAAACAGAGGGAAAATCTTTCGAATGTGAGCTTCGTCCGGTTATTTGGCCGGTCCGATTTAAGTTCAGAGGAGTCCGCGTGTTTTTTTTGCGGGTCGGTATCGAAGATCCGATCTCTGTCCCCTTTTGACACTTTCGACACTTTTTCTTGCCTATCCCTGTTTCCAAACAGCAAGGGTCCGAAATGTGTTCTGGACAGAAATGACCTCACTCCAAAAAATTCTCCTTTGAAAAACGTGGGGGTAAATGGTCTTTTTAACAGGATCCGACCCAGTTTCCTTCTGGGTTATTCTCAAAAATTCGGATAACTGGGATAATATTCTGTTTGGTGACAGGAATAATTCTAGCATGCACCCTTGATTGCTTCCATTTTAATAGTATAGATTAGCATGGTTGGAGACTTGGAGTTCATGTTTTTTTTTTCAGTTTTTGAATTACTGTAAGCAAATTAAAACCTAATCTAGTACGCTAGTAGCCAATAGACGTTGATTGATAATTTTTGTGATGTAAATATTTCTTTTTCATAAATGCTTTTAAAATTAGGTACGTATTTGCTAGATTCTAAACCAGAAATTTACTGAAAACAAAAAAATACATACTCCAAGTCTAATTTCTCAACGCGTGTACATACTCCAAGTCTAAAAAGTACACATGTATTTTTTTGTTTTCACACGCATTTAATTAGAGAGCGGAGTACATAAAGATCAGGTTACATATGTGTACTTTTTACATGCTACACTACAAACAGACACACGCACGCAAACAAACTCAAGTTGTAACGTTATTAATTACAACCAAGCTCTGATCAAGAGAGTAAAGTTTGAGCCGGTCGCCATATCTAGATAAACAAAAATTGCAAAACAACCCCATAACACTAACCAGTATCCCAACTTCATCCCTTAACGATGAAAACTCGGGTAACTAGAACGTCGAAGTACTCGACCTTATTGCTCGTAACTTCGGAGTTGGTTCAGGCAATAGACGGGAAGCGGAAACGTTGAGCTGATTCTATAGTTGCGGGCAAAATCGGTTGTGTTACAACGATTGAACTATTTGGACATTGATAGACCAAAAAAGTTGCGTTGGTGGAAGATGTTATGGACTCTCTAACTGTATGGACTTGTGGACCGTGGTAGATGTAAGAGCTATTCAGGCTCTTGAGAGTAGAGAGATTAGGGTTATAGGGATTAGGAAGATTAGGGTTTGACGTGGAAGTGTACCGGTTGAGCTTTTCTAACCCATCTTCTGTAATGACCTTGAGCTGATCCTTTCTAGAAAATCCCATGGTAGTAGAAATAGAAAATAAAAGAGAGAGAGATGAAGTATGTATTGAGTAAGTTTGTTGTCTTGGGTGGTTAGATATATAGTAACAAAGTTAGTGGCTTTTATACAGAGAGATCCCAAAGGATAAGGTTGTACTCTTATGAGGACACTATTATCAATAAAGAAAGAAGAAAACAATTGTTATGAATTAACGTATTTTACTGAATATGATTCAAATACGAGCTGTTTTGAACACGCTCTATAATATCACTACAAGAAATAAGGTGTATAGTGTCATTTATTTTCTTAGTTTATATCATTTATTGATTGATATAAATGAATTTGCATCATTTATATAAATGATTCTGAAAGTGGTGACTCAATAATATCACCACTTATATAGTGTCAAAAAATTAAGTGATTCTAATTAGCATAATTTATTAAAGATTGACATTAATTTTATGATTTTGCATCACTTATTAATTTTACCTAAACCAATAGTAGCGATCTTAAGAGTCTTCTTGGACAACCAATATCAAGGTGGGAGGTAACTGGATTGATTATTGAACTATCTTTACTGATTTGAAAATTTAAACGATTGTTGTCTAAGAATTGAGTTACCCTAGAAAAAAAGAATAGAGTTACCCTGAAGGTTATAAAACATTGTCCTTTAATATAAACTTTGCACTAAACAACAAAACATGAAATTTTATTAGTTTGTGTGGTTAAAAAAAATCAAATAAATAATTTAACTTTAATTTACACTAATTTATTTTATCGAATTTGGAATATATTCATATCTGTATGGATTTACGAGATTTTAAGATGGATCTCGTATTTCTAAATGATTGGTTGAATATTTATAGTTTTTAAATAAGTTTGAATCCTAAATCGAATAATAACAGAGTAAAAACATTCAAATCAATGATTGAATAAATAAATCTACAAGTAATATGCAACTTGAAACTCTGGTCTACATATACCATACATGCGTATTAATGTATACATGAATCGTGTAATTAGTGGAAGTATGTATGTATGTGTTAATGTGCATGGGTAATATTTCACAAGTATCAAGTATCACATGTAGATGTAGAAAGAAATATCCAGAAAGCTTGGGAGAGAAGAGATAGGGAATCTGCTTTATGAAGGTTAAAGCAACACTGCAAGAAAAAGAGAAAGGTCGGTTAGATTTTGGTATCCATTATTCTCAATTATTACTTCTCTTTTAGCATCCCATTCACCTCTGCTATTATTCCTCTATATCTGCATTTCACAAAGCATTTCTTCTTTTACTACGATTAATATCTTTAGGGATCAGTTTGATCTGTATAAAAGAAGCTTCTTTGTTCTTGTTAAAGTTGTTTAAAGAAGTTTCAACTTGGCATAATATGATTTCGGACAAGATGCGTACCAAACTTCATTTCTAATCCTAAATCTTTATCTATCTTGTAGATATTTTAGTTTATGTTAACTTATTTAACAGTTAAAGGCGGAGAGATTCATAATTATATAATTTTAAATGGTTGGTAAAATATAAAATCCTAAGATCATATTCAATTCCCATATGGCAATAAGGCGAATTTTTTAAAATTTTAAAATGTTTCATTCATGAAGATCCCACTAAAAATGAAATCATATTCTCAAGAAAAGGATTTTGAACTCTACTTTTGTGTGAAATGGAGAGATGTATATTTTTATCGATGAAGATGAGGACTTAATATGTAGACCGAGTTTTAGGCCACTCGGAACAGATCACCTTCGAGCGGCATGCTCTTTTTGACTATCGATAGTGTAAAACCGCATGAGTTTATCACATATACAACTCGGTGACGTGGTACTTGTCCTCTCCTTGATAGGTGAAGGCCGAGATGTGAACTAATCCCGAAATATAATTGTCCGCTCGAAGGTTCCCGGATGGTTAATGAATATTTCTGGTAGGTGTAACAATTCGTTAGTTCTTGAAAAGAGAATTACCGCCATAAATGTAGACACCCAAATATATATGAAATATGTTTCTGAAGATATATTATTCTTAATTATTGTTGACGAGAATATCTACAAAAGTCAAAATATCTGGATTTTCTTAAGGCAGATATCTGGATTAGATATAAAAATGAAAGAAAGAAAGACTTGCATAATTTCTCAAAAAAAAAAAAAAAAGAAAGACATGCATGGAGTAGATAGTTTATATATATATATTTCTTTTTTTTTTTCTTTTTGGTAAAATGTGAAGAGAACTAGAAAATAAAGAACTTTACTGAAGATGAAACTTATATTTCATTGGTGATTAGAGACGATGTACAGAAGTCTATTTATAGACTATATAAGAAGATACCAGAACAAGCGAGTAAAACGAATCTATAGTTGTCACTCTTATCAGCTCAATACAGCTGTCACAATCTAACCGTTAGCCATAGAAGACAAGAATTCAAATCTGTTAAAGCAGAGCATCTCCTCCTCCTCTGGCGCAACATATTTTACAGGTTTTGTCTTCTTTCGCTGAACGTGATTGGGCTTTGGTGTTGGGCTCTTGAGACTTTGGGCTTCTACAAGATGAGTTGAATTTGAGCTCTCACTTACATCCCCCCTCAAACTTAGTGTAGGTGGTTCAGCTACACCAAGTTTGCGTCTCAAGTCAATGAAAGACTTCTTCGGCAGTGATTTTGTAAAGACGTCTGCAAGTTGTTGTGCAGCCGGAACATGCTGTGTTTCAATCAACCCAGTGCCACTTGTTCTCTAATGTAATGATAATCCGTATCAAAGTGTTTGGACCGGCTGTGTAGCGCAGGATTGGTGCTGAGATATACTGCAGAGAGATTATCACACCTCAATACCGTTGTTTGTCTCTGTTCAATGCCAAGATCACAAAGTAGGAAGGACAACCAAGTTATTTCCTGAGCTGCAGCAGTGAAAGCTCTGTATTCAGCCTCCATTGAAGACTTAGACACCGTTTATTGTCTCTTCGCAGACCATGAGATCAAGTTGGATCCAAGCATTGTGCAGAAACCTGAGGTGGACCTTCTTGTATCCTTGCAACCAGCATAGTCACTATCACAATAAGCATGCAGAACCTACTCCTTGTCTTTTCAAATATGCAAACCCATTGTGATAGTTCCTTTGATATACCTGAGAACACGCTTGAGAAGATTAAAGTCTGAAACCGTTGGAGAATGCATTCTCTGACAGATGAAATTCACAGCAAACTGAATATCCGGACGAGTGATTGTTAGATATTGTAGTTTTCCAGCTAGGCTCCGGAAGTAGGTTGGTTCTGAAAACAACTCTGGACTGAAGTCATCAGTTTGCAGCGGTAATGGAGTTGGCATCCGATTGCAATCGGACATTGAAGCTTGGTGTAGTATATCTGCAGCATAAGCCTTTTGATGTAGAAACATACCTCCCTCGTATGATTCAATTTTCACACCCAGAAAATAATGGGTTTACCAAGATCTTTCATTGAGAATCTTTTGTTGAGACAGTCAAGAAGATCTTGTAACAGCCCTTGATCACTACCTATAAGGAGCATGTCATCAACGTACATCAACAGCGCTATAGTTTTTCCATCTTTGTGGTAGTGAAAGAGGGACGGATCAGATTTGCTGCAGGTGAACACATATTCAATGATAAAATGACTGAAAGTGTCAAACCAAGCTCGAGGAGCCTGTTTGAGACCATACAAGGCTTTAGTAAGTTTACAAACATGGTTTGATTTCTCTGGGTCTTCAAAACCTTCAGGTTGGAACATGAACACCGGTTCCTTTAGTTCACCATGTAGAAACGCATTTGACACATCCAGTTGCTTAATAGGCCAATCTTTTGCTGTGGCAACATCCAAAATCATTCTGATTGTAGCAGTGTGAACCACAGGACTGGAAGTTTCCAAATAATCTACACCTTCTTCTTGATTAAACCCTTTGGCCACTAATCTAGCTTTAAGCTTGTTCAAATCTCCACTAGACTTAAGCTTTGGCGTGAAAACCCACTTATTATGAAGAACATTAATCTCCTCTATTCTTGGGACAAATGACCAAGTGTTGAGCATGTGGATCCTCCCAATCTCGTCCATCACATCAAGATTCCAACCCGGATGCTTCATTGCTTCGGCAATGTTCTTAGGTGTCGCTAGGACAAATTTGGAAGCAAGAAGCACATATTGAGTGTTTGGCTTGTGTATTCCAGATTTGGCTCTGGTGGTAATCAGATGTATATTTTCAACCAGAGGTTCTCCACCATCTTCTGAACCTGAACTTTGGTTATCAAAAATAACTTCAGGTTGTTCTGCAGTCACACCATCATCAGGAAGAACCGGAGCTGTTGTTGGTAAAGTTGGTAAAACTCTAGGTATCTGGGTTTCTGAAGCCGGAGTATGTGTACTGACCGTTGTTGCCAATTGCCAAGCCTTAAGCAGTTTGCTGTGATACCGTGGTACGAGAGACTCATACTGATCTTCGGAAATTTCTCTTCATCAAAAACCACATGCCTGCAGATATAGATTTTTCCCCGAAGGTGGATATAAACAACGATAACCCTTGTGTTGTGAGCTGTATCCAACAAAAACACACTGTAGTGAACGCGGCTCGAGTTTGTGATCAGCTACAGGTCGAAGATACGGGTAACAAGTCGAGCAAAAACCTCTCAGCATCGCATAGTTTGGTTTCTCTTTATACAGAACCTCAAAAGGACTGACTTTGTCCAAGATAGCCATGGGAAGTATATTAAAAATGAAATTTGCAGAGAAGAAGGCTTCAACCCAATAACTAAGTAGTGTATTGCTGTGAAAGAGCATAGACAACCCAAGCTCCACAATATGCATATGCTTCCTCTCAGCCAACCCATTCTGCTGAGGAGTGTAAGGACAAGACATTAAGTGTTTAATACCATGTTCTACAAAATGTTGCTGCAGCTTCTTGTTTACAAATTCACCACCACCATCACTTTGAAAAACCTTGATTTTAGTACCAAACTCATTCTCAACCAGCTTCTGAAATGCAGTAAATACAGAGTAAAATTCTGATTTGGCTCGTAGAGGGTAGAACCAAGAAAACCTTGAGAAGTCATCAATAAAAACTGCATAATATTTGAATTCCAAAGTTGATACAACTGGAGAGGATCTCCAAAGATCACAGTGAATTTGATCTAAGGGTCCTAAAACACGAGAAGAGAATGAAATAAACTGCAATCTACTACACTTTCCCATTTGGCAAGGCTCACATATGAGACTAGTTTTGCTCTTATTTATGATAATTTCCTTGCTGCTTTCAAGTTGTTGGAGAATTTTGAAGTTGGAATGTCCCAATCTGTGATGCCATATGTCTTCTGCTGCTGCACACTGCCTATTTGAGTAGAGAGCTTCCAGCTTCTGATTCTCCAATGTGTAGAGGCCTTTACCCCGAGGCCCCTTTGCTACCACTTTCTGAGCATTAACACCCAACAACGCAGACCTTATTAGAGTCAAACCACATACCATAAGGATAATCATCACACAATTTGGACACAGATAACAGAGACTTTTGTATTTCTGAACAAACCAAGACATCTCTTAGTGGGATATTACCTGTAGCAGAGATTATTTTGGTGGAACCAACATGAGTGATGGGAAGAAACGTTCCATCTGCAACCATAATCGTTTCGTTACCTTCATATGGAGCTGAGGTTTGAAGGTTCTCTCTGGATGCAGTGATGTGAGCAGAAGCTCTAGAATCTGGATACCACTCTTTCCCGGTTGCATCAGAAGTTTGGAGAGCAGTGAACGCCTTTGTTGTGTCTTCACCTTGATAGTTGTTGTCAAAGCGATTGTAATATTTGACAGCAGTGTGACCAACTCTTCTACATATTTGGCACACCGGACGTTCACTACCACCATTATTATTCGACTGATGTTAGGAAAAATCTTTGCCACGAGAAGTGTAACCTCCTCTGCCTCGAGATTGACCAAACCTTCCTCGACCACCTCTCTGATTCTGATTGTAACCCGGATTGTAGCCCTGAGAACCAGATTGATAGGCACTAGAGTTATCAGAAGATTGAGCATTGAAGGCCAGTAGAGTGTTTACTGTTTTATCTGCTTCATACGCTTGTAAAAAGTCATAAGCTTGCACTTCGGTCACGACATCATTGAACGTTGGCGGATACGGCTTCGAGAGATCACGTTGAATACCAGTGTAACTGTGTCGTACTCTTTGCCTAAACCATTTAGGAACCCAAATATCTTCTCCTCTTCATTTACGGTTTCCCAATGGAGGCTAAGGAATTGCATATCGTCTTCAGTTCTCTGCAGTAAACCGTCAAGGTCTTTCCTTTCTTTGTGTGAAATTGCAGTTGGCGTTTGAGGGCAAACTGACGAGCTAACGAGCTCTGGTTGAAGTTGTCTGCAAGGGTGACCCAGATCTCTCTAGACGTTGAGAGATTGTGTACGACGCCGAGGACTTCCTCAGACAACGTTCCGAACAGCCACAAACGGACCAGCTGATCGGTACAGAACCAAGCATCAAACAACGGATTTGGTTCGACTATGGGGACACCACCAACAACAACGGTATGAGACGACGGAGGAGCTGCAACAGTGCCATTGATGAAACCGATGAGCTTCTGGCTGGAGAGCAGCGACTCAAACTGTGTTTTCTACAGTAAGTAGTTGGTGTTGGACAACTTGAGCGTGACGGAGCTCAAGACATAGACATTGCTCGGAAAAGGGTACGGTGACAGTGGATCAGCCATTTGCGCCTGTTAGAGCTTAACTTGGCTCTGATACCATGAAGAGAACTAGAAAATGAAGAACTGTACTGAAAATGAAACTTATATTTCAATGTGATTAGAGACAATGTACAAGAGTCCTATTTATAGACTATACAAGAAGATACTAGAACAAGCGAGTAAAACAGATCTATAGCTGTCACTCTTATCAGCTCAATACAGCTGTCACAATCTAACCGTTAACCATAGAAGACAAGAATTCAAATCTGTTAAAGTAGAGCATCTCCTCCTCCTTTGGCGCAACATACTTTACAGGTTTTGTCTTCTTTCGTTGAACGTGATTGGGCTTTGGTGTTGGGCTCTTGAAACTTTGGGCTTCTCCAAAATGAGCTGAACTTGAGCTCTCACTTACAAAATGGACTAAATAGCTTTTAGATCTAAAATTCTTTATTTTTGTCTGATTTTGATTTTATTCAAGTAGATCCATGCGTGAGTTGAATATCACCTACGTACTGAGAAAAATATGAACATACACTTATCAATTACCTTTTATTTAATTCATATCAATTATTATAACAGAGCTACTGTCTTAAAAATGAAGTAATCTAATTGCTAGATGTAGTTCATATGATGGCTAAGATGACAACTACATTTTCTTAATTAAAATTTTATAATTGATAACATGTGCAAGACCGTCAAACCGACCATGGACTTTGAAGGAGATGTTCACTATCAGAGGAATAGTAGTAAATTAATCAAACATGGTTACATTCGATTCCATGTACATTGTTTGTGATGGTTACACGTATCGATAAATTCTTTCATTGTGAATATTTCAAAGAAAAGGAATGGCACATACGCAACTGCAAAAGGATAATTCCTAAACAATATTTTTCACTAGCTAAAAGATTATGTTGGCTCCTTTCGTAACGGAGAAGCTTTAGCTTCCTATATATAAAGGCAATTGGCTTTCTTTCCCAAACCTAACTGAAACCAAAGAAACAAAGATAATACATTAAACAAAACACCTTTCTTCTCTTCTTTATTCCTCAATGGCAATGGCTCAAAAGGATAGGAATACAAGGATCGCCCAAAAGGCCTTTGAAATGGTCGATAAAGTGTACGGTAAGTCCCACAAAATAGCCCCTCCATCATATGTTCCAAGAGACGAGTTTGCTTCTCGTTATAACCAAAGTTCTTACGAATATGGTGCTCCAAAAGTTAATACCATAAAAGAGGGAACTCGTACTGCTAGTTGCAGCCGATTCATTTATAAGTATTCAAACGACTCAACCATACAAGAACCGGTTGTTTCTCGCCCCACAGAACATGTTCAATACTTTGGTGGTTCCAGTCCTCTTACCGGCCATGCAAACCGGTTTGAGAGGCCGAAAGAACGGGCTATTAGCTGCGACGAGGCGGCCCGACTCTATGGAGGGGTGCTTATTAAGGAGTTTCGTAATTAAGCGGGGTAATATTAACTCTAGTAATGTTGAATAGGAGGGTGAGTTTGTAAGAAAGTGTGAGAGTTTTTATTTCTGCTTTCGGAAAAAGTGCAGACCAACACGTGCTAAAGCTTGTTTTAACGGTTTTAATTTCACTTAGAACAAGCTTTAGATCACTAACTAGTGTTTGTGTCTGTTTATGTATCTAGACGTACTTTAAGTTGACTCTTCTGTAATGTAAAATGTTACGGTGTTACTGCTAATGATGTAAAATTAAATGCTTAGTAATGCGAACGTATGTGCTCGTAACTCTTTGTGAACATAAATAACGAAATAAGTATATGCACATCTAAAAAGAAATTAACCGCAAACATATCATATACAGCTAATGTATAAAAGTCCTAAATTGATCTAAGATAGTGTAGATATCAACGATGCCTTCAATAAAATAGCATGTCAAAATTTCTCCATTTTTTTGCCGCACCAGTTTTGCTATTTTGTAAGACCAAGTAATTTTTCACATGCATAAACACATTTTTATATATTGTTATCTACCTAATTCGCTACACTTAAGTTTACAAAAGTCTTAAAATTCTAATATACTACCCTTCCGTTTTAGAATATATGATGATTTATGATTTTTATGTATTCCAGATTACAAGATGTTTTAGAATTTTTCAGATCTTTTTTACAAACTTTAGGAACCATTGTAATTGAATTCTTAAATTTTTATTGGTTAATATTTAACAAAAAGTCATTTAATTAAGAAAATGATGCAGTAATTCTTAAATAATTTTTTTTTTAATTTGTGTGAAAACTCTAAAACATACTCCCTAATTTCAAATTACTTGTGATTTATAAAAATGTATATGAAAATAACAAAAAAAAATTGAAACAGAAAGAGTATAAGATATTCTGAAATCGAAAGAGTAATAAATATGAATATTCCGTTCATAACAATAAATGTCTATCAAAACACTATTTTAATCTTTGTAACCTTTTTTTTTTACTTTTTAGTAAACAAAGGCAGATAGATCATCACTAAATATTCTTCATTTCGTGGCAAAAATATCTGAATTTATATTTAATTCCCACGTAGCAATAATGCAGAATAATTCTCATATTTTTGCTTTACAATAAGACAACAGATTCGATATCTTGAGACATTTTTTTTTTTTAATAAATACGTTTCACTTAAGTAGTAAAACATTTCATGTTTTATGTTTTCTGATTATGACACAACATTTTAAAAACAGAAATGCAAGCTTTCAAAGCCAGCACATGCTTTTAATGTGTAGTTTTTTAAGTGTAACAGAAGCGAGCTTCTAAAAACTTTTAAAACCAAAGCACATGCTTCAAGTTTTTATTTCCTTCTGGTAATTTAGTTTCCAAGCATGAGTTAAATATCGCCTACTGCAAAGATATAAATTGCAAATTAAATTGCACATACTTCAGTTTAAATTTAGTTTCCAAGCATGAGTTAAATTAAATTGCAAAGATATATATCAATTCATAAAGCTATTATCTTTGCAATTTAATTTAAACTGAAGTGATCCAGTTACTAGATATATATGCATATATATAGTGGATTTTTATTACAACTATATATATATATATATATACATATGCATAGTGGATTTTTATTATAACTATAAATTCGTTTATATTTTAATTTAATTTACATTTTAATTTTATTTAAATATGGCATTGATTTGTACAAGATAAGTAACATAACATGGTTAACAAATTAAATAACGATAGAACGGACCGGATCATATGACCATGTTATCTTTCAGTCAAGCCGTCCATATAAAGGAGATATACATTATTGAGGGATATGATTAATTAAATTTGATATTCGATACTATATATTTGTGATGGTAACACGTATCCGATGAAATGTTCATTCCGAATAATATCAGAACTTCCAACTTTATATTTAAAATCCGGGATTTTCAAAGAAACCAAATGTTCATCATATGCAAATTGCAGCGGATAATTCCTAAAACTATAGAAAAATGTCTCGTTAGAAGAGTAGGTTGGTTCCTTTCGTAAGGGAGAAGCTCTTTCTATATAAAGGACATTGGATTTCTAAACTAAAACCACAAAACAAAGATAACACACAAAAACAAACACATATCTTCTCTTGTGCTTCAACGACAATGGCTCATAAGGAAAGGAATACAAGAATCCAAAAGGCCTTTGAAATGGTCGATAAGGTCTACGGTAAGTCCCAGAAAATAACCCTTCCACCACATATTCCCAGAGACGAGTTCGGTTCTTGTTATAACCAAAATTCTTACGAATATGGTGGTCCTAAAGTTTATACCATAAAAGAGACGACTAGTACTACTAGTTGTCGCCGAGTCATTTATCAGTATTCAAACGAGTCAACTATAAAAGAACCAGTTGTTTCTCACCCCACAGAACATATTCAATATTATGGTAGTGCCCGTCCTTTTATTAGCCATGCCAACCAGTTTGTGAGGCCGAAAGGACGGGCTATTAGCTGCGACGAGGCGGTCCAGCTCTATGGAGGGGTGCTTATAAAGGAATTTCGTAATTAAGCGGGGTAAAAACTCAAGTTACGTCCATCATGATGCAGGCTGAGTATGTAAGAAAGTGTGATATATTTTGTCTCTCCTTTCGGAAAAAGTGCAGACCAACACATGCTAAAGCTTGTTGTAACGGCTTTCACTTAGAATAAGCTTTAGATCACCTACCAAGTGTTTGTGTTTGTTATGTATGTATGGCATGAAATGTAAAATGTTACGGTGTTACTACTTACTAGTAATGGAAACTTATATGCTAATGTAACTCTATGTCTTTTTAATATATCTTATGTTTAGAGAGTGAAAATTAAACTCCATGCAAGCGAGAATTAATTAGTAATCATGCATATTTTCTGAAGATATATGATTAACATTCCATATACGCATATAATATCGCATATGTATATACATCCAATTTTGTGATTAATCACCTCCAATGGTATAGAGAGATCATTGATAATCTTCCCGCAAGTGAAGCAAAAACCATTGGTAATTAAAAATAAATAAAAATGAGAAACTAATTACTACCTCATAATTTGTTAACGGTAAATAACTAACTTTCCCTCCATTCTTCCACATATAAGGACTTCGAAACCAACTCACATTTAGCGATAGATATTCTATTAAATTTTTAAAAACGAAAAACATAAAAAAAAAAAAAAAAAAAAAAAAAAAAAAAACAATAATATGCGGCATGGATTGAACGATTCAAGCAAGATGAAAATATATGCTTTGTTAGGCTTCATATCTCTCTTTATGGCAATGATCATCTGCGCGGAGGCCAATGACGATAGAAGCCCGAGTCGGAAAACCGCAGAGATTCACCGCGAAAAAAAGCTGGTGATAACAAAGACAGCAGTGACTGTGATATGTTCATCCACCGATTACAAACAAGATTGCACCACGGGTCTTGACAATGTTAGGTCACCAGATCCCCGGAATCTGATCAATTCCGCTTTCGACCTAGCAATCGTCTCGATTCGAAGTGGAATCGACAAAGGGATGGTTGATCTAAAGGGCAAAGCCGACGCGGATGTACGCACGAGAGCCGCGCTTAATAGTTGCCGAGAGCTAATGGATTTCGCAATTGAAGATCTTCGCAAAACGAGGGAAAAGTTTAGAGGGTTCATGTTCACAAGATTTTCAGATTTCATTGACGATCTTAGGGTTTGGCTCAGCGGATCCATCACATACCAACAAACGTGCATCGATGGGTTTGAAGGGATCGATAGCGAAGCGGCTGCGATTATGGAAAGGCTCATTAGGAAAGGGCAGCATCTTACTAGCAACGGACTAGCCATCGCTTCGAATCTTGATGACTTGTTAAAGACTTTACGTATTCCATTTCTTTCGGTACATGCACACGTTACACTCTATCAAAACTAGCACTTTACATTTCTTAGGTTTGATGGTTTTAGGTTAAGAGGATTGTAATTACATGAAAATTGATATAACTTTTAATTTGTTTTGATGATTTTTATTGAGTGTTAGGTTCCATAATTTATTATTAAGTTGCTAATCTTGATTGTCTCTTTAAATTATTTTTTTTTATAATGAAAGTATAATAATCCACATTTACTGACTTATGTCTTCAACAGTCAAGAAGAGGCAGACTCGGCATTTTTCGTCCAAAATCTTCACAAGAACAACCGTCGAATTCTTCTAAGGATGCTTCCGAGAAACCACCATCGGATTCTGCCGAGAAGCCACCATCAGATTCTGTCGAGAATCAACAACCGAATGTTCCCGAGAACCGTCAGCCAAATCCTCCGCAAAACCAGCAGCCAAATCTTCCCAATAATCCGCAGCCAAATCTTCCCGAGAACAAGCAGTCAAATCTTCCTGAGAATCGACCGTCAGATTCTTCCAAGAATCAACCACTCGGTTCTTCGGAGAATCCTCCTCAAAATTTGGATTCTTCGAAGAACGTCCGACCATTGGATCCTCTTAGAGAATTAAACCCTCTTCGGAAACTGGATCCTCTTGAAAAATTGGACTCGCTAAAGGATCGACACTTGTCGGAGAAAGGAGGATTCCCGCGGTGGCTAAAACCGCATTCGCGGAGGCTGCTCGCGGCACCACGGCGAGGTAAAAGAAACAACGGTAATAGAATCAACGCCAACGTAGTGGTGGCAAAGGACGGAAGTGGTAAGTGCAAGACGATCGCACAAGCATTGGCAATGGTACCAATGAAGAACACAAAAAAGTTCGTCATTCACATAAAACAAGGAGTTTACAAAGAAAAAGTAGAGGTCACCAAGAAAATGCTTCACGTCATGTTCGTCGGAGACGGACCAACAAAGACTATTATCACCGGAGACGTTGCCTTCTTGCCTGACCGTGTTGGCACCTACCTCACTGCCACTGTCGGTAAATTCTTAGACAACATTTTAGATATTCTGTTACAATTTTACATGCATGAAGTTTTTAATTATGATTCAAATATTCCAAAATCTATATTTCACACATTTTTTTGTTCTAAATTTTTTTATTCAAGTTTTGATATACAACATTTTTCTCACTGAGATTTGAGTCCTATAGTGTTTGAAGTGTCAAAGCCCTAAAATATTTATATTGGTGTTTGAAGCGGTGAACGGTGACAATTTCATGGCAAAGGACATAGGGTTCGAGAACACGGCGGGAGCGGCACGCCATCAAGCGGTGGCACTCCGAGTTTCGGCCGATTTTGCTGTGTTTTTCAACTGCCGTATGGACGGTTACCAAGACACGCTTTACGTCCATACTCACCGTCAATTCTACCGTGACTGCCGCATTTCAGGCACCATTGATTTCGTCTTCGGCGATGCCAAGGCTGTCTTCCAAAACTGCGAATTCGTCATCCGCCGTCCCATGGAACACCAACAGTGCATCGTTACGGCCCAAGGACGGAAAGACCGACGTGAGTCAACCGGCATCGTTATCCACAATAGCCGTATAGTTGGTGATGCATCATATCGTCCCGTCAAAGCCAAGTAAACCATATTAATGACCATATACCTTGATTTAAATTAGTTTATAGCCCTATATCGCTTCTATTAAACATTATATATATGCATGGATCTATACGTATACAGGAACCGGGCGTTTTTAGGACGGCCATGGAAGGAGTTCTCGAGGACAATAATAATGAACACAGATATTGATGATTCGATAGACCCAGAAGGTTGGTTGAAGTGGAACGAGACGTTTGCTCTCAACACGTTGTTCTACTCAGAGTATCGGAACAGAGGTCGTGGTTCGGGTCTGGCCCGCCGGGTCAGGTGGAAGGGTATCCGACGGATGTCCGATAGAGCCGCCAGGGAGTTTTTTCCCGAGAACTTTCTACGTGGCAACGCGTGGATCACACCGACGCGCGTGCCGTACAATGCTAACTGAAAAACAAGTTTCTCCAGTCGTCTCACTCTTTTGTCAAGGAAAACCTCATTCGTATTTAATTGTGTATATAAAAATCAGTGAGAGCAAAAGAGGATTTGTATATAGCTTTTTGGTTCCGTAGTATAGGTGAATTATGTTGATATATACTGTTTTTCCTATACGTAATGCATGTGAGGAGTTAATGTTTTTTAGTTTTTATACTTTTACATTGAATAGCAAAGATCATGAGATTAAATTGTGTGAAAGTTCTTAACCATTATATGGCCTTTTAAACAATTTTGAGATTATATTATATGGCCTAACACTCCGGTGTCACGATCAATCAACGTTGGTCCGCCATAAATTTTCAGCCCCACTTAGAATATTAACACACTTTGCTTCATATAAAGTCTTTTGAAACGACTCTAAGCGTACTAGCTTCTTAAACTATCTTACAAGTGACGATCTCTTATTTATATCTACATATAAAAGTTCATTCTCACTCTACGAGAATTTTTATGAAAGCATATTACCTTTTTTATTGAATATGTAAAATTTTGAAAATTAACAATTCAAAGTTCTACGTCTGAAAATAATCATTCGATAACAAAGAAACTAAAGAATTTAACAGAGGAGGAGGTATAAACTAGAAGAAAAAGGTTATTTATTACTAATACAAACATTCTTTTTACAAATTAATTGAGCTTATTATGTGCTCAACATAAATGATAAATCTGTGTACTTCTTTTGGAAACATTGCAGAGAACACAATGTATATCCTAAATAAATTAAGACGGATGAGAATTGACAGCGAGAATGACAGCAGTCGCAAACTGGTCGAGTTATAAAATTATTAAGAATCACATCAAATACGGATAATGGACGAGCCTCATCCTGTCCTGGTTTAATCCATATGAAGTCTCCAAGCGTACATCTGATATGAAAAGTGAAGGCACACTCATCACATTCATAAAACCATTTCTCTGGATTTACTTCTTCCTCGCATATCTCGCACCAGTATTGCTCACTCGTTTTTTCTCCGTAACATAAAGTCAGGAAATGATCTTTATCCTTTTTGTGTTTAACCATCTTTGGCAAAATAGAACATTTAATGTCCAAAACAAATTCACACTCCTCACAACTCAGAATAATACTTGTCTTGTCCCCACATGCATTACAAAAGCTGTCTCCCATTGAGTTGTTGATGTATAAAGAATGAGGAGGATGACTTTCATGGAAAAATGGCTCAGATATAGAACCACATCGCGCATCAATGCTCATAGTATCATTATAAGTTCCGTACCGAAAACCCCCGAACAGGTTTCGACAAACTTCGCAAAAGCTCCCAATGCATGGTTCCGGGTCTAGAGTTATCTCCATCTTGAAGAAGGGATCTATTTTCTTTTTGGGGAGATAAGCACAGTTCTGATGGAGAATGAAATCATCACATTCTATGCAACTATAGAATGGGCCAGAAAATATGGGAGAGGTGCATGCTTTACACCAAATCCATTCATCATGATTATCATCATCACTCTTTCCTTTGAGCTTTAAGAAATGATTACTGTGACTAGAATGCTTTATTACTCCTTCCTCGACCACCTCATATGATTTTACCTCTAAAATATCTTTTGATATGCCTTCAAGTTCAATCCCATCCCAAATCAAGAACTTTGTGGCACATCTCACATGACTTGCAAAATCAGAACATTCCGAACAAGAAAATGCACCACACGTCCAGTTTATCATTTTATGGCACACTCCACAGCCAGGGCCGTCCCTGACTTATGAATGGCCGCAAGCTATTTTTAAAAAAGGGCTGATTAGTTTGTCTAGGAGTCTCGAACTCATGACCTTGAAGCTCAGGAGACAGCAAGGAAACCACTAGACTACGAGAAATCTTTGGAAATATGGGCCGAATTATTCTATATAAAGACAAAGGGCCGCAAGCAGGAGCTTGCTCTGCTTGCTCCCAGGGACGGCTCTGTCCACAGCTCCAGTCTCCGGCGCCAAGGCAATGATTGTAATGGATACGATGAACATGACGATTTATTTTGATGACGCGCGGCACGTCTATACAATTTCTATGGATCATGAAATTGCACTCAGGACATACATAAGGATTCGGATCGTCATCCATTCCACAAGCATTGCAAACGAAACTTCGTTGCGGCATAAGAATGAGTTGATGCACATGAGCCTTAGGGTGGACAAGAGTGAAAGGAGGTGGATGCTTTGAACAATTGAGATCCACGCTGAAGTTACAAATGGAACAATGATAAAAAACAATAGGAAGCGTGTTTCCACACAAACAACACTTTCCACGCTTGAGAGGATGTTTAGGATGACAAGAGTAGTTGAGTTCTCGTGTAGACTCGGCACAGTCTTTGTGAAAACTCAAATCACACAAGTTACATACATAAGGGAACCGGTCATCAAATAATCCACATAGATGACAAGTAAACCTAATCATCTTTGGAATAAGGGATAAACAATGATTATGTGTCTCTGGACCCTCAATCGTTGTCATGACTTCTTTTCTTGCGCATATCAAATCTATCGCAAAATCACATATGGAACAATAGTAAAACATTTTTGACAAGTTACCTCTACAAAGCTTGCATTCTCCATGGGGATCTTCATTTTCCGCAAGTAATTTGAAATACAAAGAATGTTGTGGATGATAAAGGTTGTGAATCTCTAGACGAGACTCGCTGCATTCCTTGTGAAAGAAAAGTCCAGAACGAAAGCAACGATAACCATTACTATAGTAGTCTTTACCAAGATTGCAACCCTCACATTTTAACCCTCGTGTTTGGTATAATGCATATTTTCTTTTGGGTATTTCCATAGATGAAACAAATTTATGTTTTACTTCTAGTGATTTCAATAATTTTCTTATGGTTTATGTTGCTATATATATATACATATATATATATATATATGTATGTTTAAGTTATTCTTTTCTGCAAGAAAAGGATACTCAACATTGCTTGTCTTAATATTGATGATTTATAAACCAGACTCAATGAATAAATTCTTAACCAACTTTTTTGTCAAAAACAGAAGGAATAATATCTATACATTTATATTGTTCTTTGTTTGGCTAAGAGGACATTCCAATCTCAAAATGGATTTCAAACGTTTCCGTATGTTGCTTAATTATTATTTGGCTACAAGGAAAGGTATCAGACGGATAAAAGAAATTAAGGTCAATTATTGTAACAATCCCTAATACAGTAGAAACTCTATAAATCGATACTCGATAAATTAATAAATTCTATAAAATAATAATTTTCTCCGGTCCCAAGTCGGGCCAGTGTAAAAATTAACAAAATTCGATAAAATAATAAGATAATATTATTTTTGAAACTCCTATGTAAATATATGGTCCCATTAATATCATAAATTAATAATTACCATAAATAAAAATTTATGTAAATACATATCTATGATAATATACTAAAATATAAGTATAACTTTCACTTCTTTTCTACTAAAACTCAAGTATATTTATAATTTATCCCTAATTTTAGAATGAACCTACACAAAATATAAAAACTTTTAAAAATTCTTATTTTTATTTATTTAATATTTATTATAAATATTTTTTAAAACAACTATTTTATTCAAGATCGATAATTTAATAACTTTATAAATTAATAAAATATCAAAGTCCCAACTTTATTAATTTATAGAGTTTATACTGTATATTAAAAGAGAAAACATTTTAAAAGTAACATTTAGTTGATGTATTATTAACAAGAATGCCATGCTGATGTGTCATCACTAGAGAGTTCTTAGGTTAGTTATGAAATAAGGTTAGCTTACTAGAATAATTACAAACATTGTCATTCATATTTTTGGTTAGAGAATCAAATATGTATTAAATTAATCATATATATAATTATTAATAAATAAAAAAATATCATTCCCTTCTTTTTCCTTAATTGACAACTACGAAAATTGGTAAATAAGGAAGATATGAATTCAATTTAATTCTATCATAATAATTTCTTTTAAAATCACCATATATCTCCTATTATCTTCATGTAACTTTATTTTATAAAATAATTTGAATCACAATATACAAAATTTAATAAAGAAAATCTAAAACTTTTCTGTACATGCTATGATTTGAATTTTTAAAAACTAAAATAATATAAATTGTTTAGTACATAACCTCATTTAGTAGGTATCCAAAGGTAAATTATTATTTTTATTCCATTTAATATGGTTTTTTAATTAAATTCTATAATCAAATATATTAAAAAAGTTATTTTTCTATCATATTTGAGTTTGAGTTTTATGTATCTTTCTTAAATCTATCATATTTAATATATGACTATGATCAAAATTTTAATTTATTTTCTTTTTAAAAAATAGTTTAAAATGCTTAATTTCTATACTATAAACGAATAAACGAAGACAATAATATAACAAAAGTTAAAAAACTGTGACATAAAATTTTGAGATATTTAAATAAACATTTTTTAATAAAAAAAACAAATTCAGAAAGCATCACCCCGTGCAGGGCGCAGGTCAAACCCTAGTAACATTTTATAATACCATTTTGTTTGATCTAATAAGAAAGAAAAAACAAAATGTGTTTAACGTAATCTATGTTTATTAGTTATAGTGGTTTTACAGAAATCCTAGAAGATTCATAATCATATAGCCTAGAGAAATTGTCGATTGCATTATGGAGGGGTATTCAACACAACAAAACCCCTTGTTTCTCTCCGGGTCATGACACATCAGCATTTTCAAACATTCTGGACTTGACACCTCATTTAAAATCTCCAACTAATCAATACATTCTAAATAATTTCAGTCAGTAATTCATTAATACACATCATCTTCTTTTTAAAACGATATTTTGCCGTTACATGTATTCACCACTGATCCCTGCCTGTCTCCTCCTTTTCTTCTTCTCCGCTGGTGGATATTTCCTTGCCGAATCGAAACTGGTGTGCTCTTTCCCGCTCTTTCAAGTCATCGGTTCAAGTCCGTGAGACAGCGGCTGAGCAGATGGAGGAGCCACAAAGTGAGTGGACCTAATCGAAACTTAGATGTGCTCTGGAATCTAACCAATGGTTGAAGCTTTGAGCTAGCCATTGAAGATCTAATCTGGTACAAAATTCAGGAGAGGGAGAGAGATGGAGTACAATGCGATGAAGATACTAAGAGATCAAATTTCTGATGAAGAAAATGAATCTCTCACTACAAGAAAAAAAGATAAGGATTTTAGGAATTGTACCAAACATGGCAACTACGGGAGACTTAGACTTAGAGAGTATGGCCATGCATTTAGGCCAAAGCATAGGCCTCATCAAAGAGATTTGACCGGCTGGAGAGGTAGTGAAGAGTCTTGTAGAAGAAGCTCAGTTTCTGATCCTCCAAAAGTTCAACAAATGCTACATACATGATGGCTTCAAATCATGAGAATGAAAGAAAGAGGGGAACAAAAACTTTACTGCTTTTGTAATCGGATGAGAATTAGTCTCACATGCATATAATATTATAATGTAATATCTGTGTAAAAATAATAATGTGTATTACTCCTTTTACCGCAAGACCATATGGTATAGGATCCAGAAATTTACGTTCAGACATATTTTTAGACTTTCTATTTACACTAAAACACACTTATTGACAGGGGTGGACTTTGTTGTAAGTGAGAGAAACAATATGGCGTAATTGCCCTTAATGATCCCGCGGTAAAAAGAAATTGTAAAAACAGATGCAGCGTTCTCACTTCTCGGCCGCGGTAAATGTTTGCAAGTCAGTGGTGAAGGTTTGCAAACCGACCTTTTCTTATCGCCGGCGAAATAGGCCTACTTTAATTGGTTCAGAGCATTGCCCTGATTATTAGACGAAATCGTGGAGGTCGATGGAATCGTTTAATTGAATCGTAAACGTAATCGGAAACGGAATCCTCAGATATCGCTGTTGAGTGCAGTGTCCCGATCTGAATCGTATACGTTTTCGGTAACGGAATCCTCTATCGTCGCCTTAAATCGCAATGACATATCTATCTACTCCTAATAGATATGTGAAGGGGTGGATGTTCTCCACTTGGAAAATATGGTGGACACTTTAGGGGTTGGACAATAATACGTGGACAATGTTGTAAGCACAGTGCTCATACATTTTTGCGGTTTTGGCTATAAAGGAATCGTACACGTAATCGGAAAAGGAATCTCAGACATCGCCGTAGATCTGGCCGGATTTAAACGCGATTTGATTGGGTGGATGTTATTAGCGTGGACAACATGTTATGGACAATGATGCTAGTGCGGACAATAATTCATGGACACCGTCAAGTGTACAGTTATATGTTATCACGGAAACATATGTGTTTTGGCGGAAATTTTAAAAATTTCACTTTTAATCGTAGCCGTCCGCTATCTTTAGTTAAAAAAGAACACCTCCAATCGTGTGCCTTGGTTTTCGACACGTATTGCAACCTACAAGTCTGTGTTTCCGTTCCACACAAGTGTATAGAAGCAACATTTATCTTTTTATGTGTTGAAACGAGGATGGCGTCTTCGCAGGAGCAGTGCCTAGTGATCTGTGGGGATTGGAGGTGCCTTAGTGATGGTCGTTGGGAGTTTTCAATCGACAAAAGACGGATGTCGCGAGTTGTGGCAATAAGAGAAGATATGAGTATTGAGGAGCTGAGGAAGAGCGTTCTTGATGAGTTTGCGACACCTGGAACCGCTTTGCTTAGCTACTGGCCGCCTAATAGCACCGAGCTTGCTACAGGCATTACCACACCGCCCGTTTTGTTGACAAATTCTGGAGGTATATAGTTTTTCTTCAAGCACTATCATGTTGACAGGACAATGAATATATTTGTGACGTTTTCTGAGATAGAAGATAGCTCTGTTTCAATTGGTTACGCGACCCCAAGAAGCTACCGTAACGTCGTCAACGAGGAAGTCTCCGGCTCTGGTACTGGTTCCCTTAGGAAGACTTCTAGTTTCCGAAGTTTCTCTTCGCTTGGTAGTGGTTTCGAAACACCAGAAGTCTCCGGGAAAGGTGGGGGTCCCAATTTTACAACTCCTGCGTCTTTTGGGAGATCGTCGTTTGTGGAGGAAGAGGTTCGTTGTCGTTCATTCCCAAAGATACCTACTGAATTTGTTGACGAAGACTTTCTAAACGAGGTTGAGTTCATGGAAGAGCGTATGTCGGAGGAGAGGCACTCTGTTTCTAATGATGATGATCCTGAAGATTGCTGTGGTGTTTTGCCTGACGATGTTTCGGAATATGTAAGGTCCGTTGGTTACGATACGGATTTCTGGGTCCCGTTGGTGCAAAATGTATATGGCGGCTCTCACGCAGTTGATATTATGTGCCCTACAAGTGAAGGATTCAACGGCAAGGCAGCTGCAATGGGGCAACAGAAGGAGTACCTCTGCACCAATAACGATGCATTTGATCACACAGTAGTTGCTGGTGAGGTTGATCCAAACGATTATAAATCTGAAGAGCATGCGAATATCGGTAGTTTCCCTGCGTCTGGTGGAACTGATGATGAGACCTCGCTCACAGAGGAAAGACCTCGCGCACGGAGTAGTGTGCCATTGGAAGAGGTTGATGATGAGGAATTTGACATACTTCCTCTGTTTGACGATCTAAAGTACGAGAATGATGACATTCCGGACTTGGACATCGATGAGGGTAGCATATTTGAGGGGAGGTTGTTTACTAGCAAAGAAGAATGTCAGATTGGTTTGGCCATTTATGCGATAAAGTCTATGTTCCATTTCAAACAAACAACTACCAAACGCCACTATTTCATCCTTACTTGTGCCGATGTTCGCTGCGATTGGAGGGTCAGGGCTCGTGAGGTCGGTGGTTCTGGTATGTACGAGATAGAACACGCTACGCTAGAGCACAGTTGCTCTATTGATACACGTAACGACTACAAGAAGAGAGCTTCTTCTAGAGTTATAGCTGCTGTATTCAAAGCGAAGTATGGTGATCCTGAAAAAGGACCTAGAGCTGTTGAGCTTCAGCGAATGGTCTTGGAAGATCTGCGTGTCTCTGCTTCGTACATGAAGTGCTTCAGAGCCAGAGAGAAAGCAACTATACAGGTGAGAGGCACAGAGGATGAGTAGTATCTAAATCTGCCAACGTATCTCCACATGTTGAAGTTGGCAAATCCGGGAACTGTTGCTGATATAGAGATAGATGTGGATGAAGAGGGCCTCCAGAGGTTTCAGTACGTTTTCTTAGCATTTGGTGCTTCGATTCGTGGCTTCAGGCAGCTAAGGCCTGTGATATCCATTGATGGAACACATTTGTGGGGCGAATACCAGGGAGTTTTGCTGACTGCGGTGGGACAAGATGCGAATTTTCAGTTGTTTCCTCTTGCTTATGCAGTTGTTGACGTTGAGGATGAGGAGTCCTGGACATGGTTTCTTACCAAATTGGAGCAGATATTGGCTGATAGTCCAACGTTGACTATTGTTTCGGATAGACACAAGGCGATACCACTTGCTATTAAAGCAGCATATCCTAAGGCTACTCATGTCGCTTGTATTGTCCATCTAGCTAGGAATGTCTCATCAACGTTCACCAACAAAGGTTTGGGGAAGTTGGTGAAGCTTGCTGCTTATGCGTATAGGGTGAAGTCCTTCAATCTTGTGTTTGATAAGATCAGATCTACAAGTAGGGAGTGTGCTCTATATTTAGAGATGGCTGGGATGTCTTTTTGGACCAGAGTTTATTCCAAAGGTGAGCGTTATAATATGATGACGAGCAATGCATGCGAGCAGCTGAACAAAGCATTGAAGGAAGGTAGGGGATGTCCAATAGTTGAGCTTCTGCAGTTCATACAACGTATGATGACACGTTGGTTTAGTGCTCGTCGCAAGAAATCCCTCAAATGCCGTGGTGGTCTTCCGCCTGAGGTTGAGAAACAAATTATGATACATAAAAAGGAGGTCGTTGGTAGCACCGTTAACCATGTCTCTAATTGAACGTGTCAAGTTGTTAGTAAATTCGAAGAAATGTTCGTGTAAGAAATATGACCGGCTTAAGATCCCGTGCGGTCATGCTTTACTGGCCGGTGACTCACTTGGTTTACTTCCAAGCACTTTGGCGGGTCATGTTTTCAAACCAAACGTTTGGCAAACGACGTATTGTGAATATGTTTGCCCTGAGGGTAACTCCGCTGATGAGGTACTGCCTGCAGTTTTATCCAACCTGGAGCTGATGCCTCCAAGGAACCGAAGATTGTTAGGCCGTCGGAAGAGAAAAAGGATTCCCTCAACCGGCGAATTTCCGGTAATTGTTTTGTCTTTCAAGTTCTAGATACATTATGTGTAATCCCTATTTATGTAGTCATTTGAATTGCATATAGGTTCCCAAGACTAGGAAGATGGTTCCTAACCGATGTAGTCGTTGTCAGAAAGAAGGCCATAACCGTACAACATGCAGTCAGCGTTCCTGATTTGGGTTGTTTTGGTATCCAGCGTTTTCGTATCGGCAGTTTGAGTTTTCCACTCAATTTCCGGTGCTCTTTTCTGGTTGGATACCTTTCGAACCTTTCGATCATTTTGGTTGATGTTTGGTAATGCCTTTAATGTTTCGGCAGATTTTATGATTCGTAATGCCTTTAAAGGATATTGGGTGATACAATCTTTGACGTTTTTGGTTGTTTTATGGATATTGAATGGCAAACTGAAACATTTCCGGATTAATGTATTGCATTTTGGTTTTGTTGCAATGAGTTGGTGTGTCATGTTGTTGTTCCGAATACAATATATGAAGCTAAAGGTCTTTCCATAGATTAATGTTGTTGTTCCGTAGACAATACATTTAACCTAAACGTCTTCCACAAATACACAGAAACTACAAGGAGATTTATCTAAAGTTGAAGTATGCTATCGCAGCAATGACTGATGCTAGTAATCCGGTGGAGGAGATTGCAATAATCTTCAATCTCTTGACATCCCGTGAAAGCTGCTTTGTAGTGTTAGATAAGTGTTGCACAAGCTTTTTCATTCCGGCCAGATCTGAGCTACTCGAACCGATATGGAACTCTGGCTTCTCGATTTTGGCGACAACATCTTGAATTTCCTCTAGCATGCATTCTTCTACCCATCTAAAGTAGTGATCCTACAAACACAGGAGAATTGAGTTGCTTCAATTGGTATATGTACTACTAATTCTCGGAGGGAAGAGTACACAATTGCTTACATTTCTCTGTGTCTCGCACTTGTAGAAAGGGCGGCCAGGATTGTCTTGTGTTTTGGAGTCCCAAAGCACAATTGGCCGGCCGCAGACGCATGCTTTGGGCAATCCTCTGATCCCAAAGTGTCGGTTGTTCGATGCTCCAGAGCTCATCGTGAGGCGAAGACCTTGTCGGCGCGGCATTGTTTTAGTTTGTATTGTTCTTGGAATATTGTCGCATAAGAAGGCTGGTACCACGCTGTAACGACGACGTTTTTAGCTAGTTGTGGACAGTTTCCACTTCATGATTGTGTGGATGAAACCTGTTAGGACAGTTTTGATGATAAGATTTGTGTGTGCGATATGTGAAATGATATGAAATGAGATGGAATGCAAACAGGTGTGAATAATGATGAAATGGAATGGTGCAATCACAATCAATCAATTCCTCTTAACCATCATAGTCATTGAAGTATAAGAGGTTATCAATCCAAAATGGGAAATCTTGTCACTCTATGAGAATATGAAACAACCAGAGAGTCAAGCAAGCAGTTATAGATTTGAAGTAACACTAACAACCTAAAAATGAAAATGCAGTGCAATAAAAGTAAACAAAGCAGGTAAACAAGTAGCTCGACCAGAGACTCGAGTCGAGTTGGGACAGAGTACCAGCTCGATCGAGTTTAGGGTCGAGTTGAGCAAAAAGCAGTAAAGGTGACGACTTTAACAAGATAAGAGAGAATTAGGGTTCAAGACAGGGTTTTGCAATCAAAGGAATCTACACTTAATCATCTAGCTCTTAAAACTCCTTGTATCAAGGCTTCTCTTGATATTGGGCTTCTCAATGCCTAGCCAACCCTTTCCCAAGGTGGAGGCTATCAACCAAGGAATGATCTCAGAAACAGGGGGTTAGCCAGTGAGAATCAAACCTTGGAGGCTATAGGATCATTGCCCAAACTAATCCATCCAACCCCTTAGACCTCTATTGTCTAGAGCAAGAGATATTGGAGCTCTTAGTGGATCTTTTCCAGCGAATGCCATCACTTTCGTGTGGGGAGTCGCCTAAGGACTTACAAGCCAGGGGTAGTGGTCATGTAGCCTTAAGATCTATCCAAAAGAGAGAGAATCTAGATTAAGACCATAAGCTAGAAGGATTAAGCATATGAAACCTCTAATCTATCCCATCTCAAACCCTAATGGGTAACTACTCACTACACATGAATGTAAACACAAGCAAATGCAATAAAAGAGACATCATAAGAAAGAGGAGATGAAATTAAACAACTTTTATTGAAATAAGCAAGTGCAAATACAAAGAGATTAATCCAGGATCTAAGATTCAAGAAGCAAGAGCTTCAAGAACACAAAGATGGGATTAGATTCTAAAAAGTAAAGACAATAAATTAAAGAAACTAAAACAAAATAATCTAAAGCTTTGGTTTTTTCGTGGCTTAGAGCCTTTAAATACAAGAGGATTAGGTTTAGGGTCAAAGGGAAGTCAAGGGGGAAGCAACATTTTTCGGGTTTGACTTTGACTTCCAGCTCGATCGAGTTGAAGCTTGGCCGGTCGAGTTGAGGAACTCGACCGGTTGGTCGAGTGGACGGTCGAGCTGGTCTTCAAGATGGCTTCTCCCTTCTTCCTTTGCGTATCCAGTTGAGCTGCTTCCATGTGCCAAGTCCCTCCATGCTCCTCATGTCCCATATGCTCCAGAATGCTCCAAAAGACCTATTTCAAAGGACCAAACATGCATATGTATGCAAATGCAACCTAAAACTAACATGAATGCATAAGAAGAGAAAAGGAACAAGATATGATGCAAATGGAAGCTAAAACTATGCAAAAGATGCATAAAAGATGTGCTAAAACTATGTAAAATGCAAGTACATCAAGTTTCCACTTCATGATTGCGTGGATGAAACAACGAGTACCAAACATCCTTGGATGGTTGCCTCGTACTGCGTGGATGAAATTCCACAATATTCACGGATGCGGAGGTGCTTAAATGAGATGACAAAGACAATGCTTCTACAAAACGCATAAACACACATCAAGGGTAGAATCTTAACAAAGTTATGTTGGGACATAGTTTGGTCATCCGAAACAGAGGCAAAACACTACATAGTTTGTTAACAAAACACAATTAGTTACCAAAGTATGTTGGGACATAGTTTGTTAACAAAAGACAAAACACATTAAGCACATAAAACGTGGGTAGGGTGATAAAGCCACAATTAGTTACCAAAGTATATTAGGACAACCAGTTCTTGGTATATGTCGAGAGCATACTGCTTGCGGAGCTGGTCCACTAAGTTGTCGTCCAACCCTGACATGTGAGGGGCTGGATCACCGGATGCATGCATCTCCATGAACTTAACAGCCACTGGTCCGCAATCACTGGATCGCTTGTTGTGGTAAAGATGATATGGCCGTGTCCATGTATATGGTTTGAGGACTTTGGTTTGCGTGGCAGAGACACAGTGTTTGTGGACAATGTATGGGAGCATGTTCAGAAGTGGCTGCAAATATTCCTCCACCTTCTTACTGGCGTTGAGGTCAAGGTTCGGGTCAAGTACCTCTATTACGCCGAGGTTAATGTTTATTGCCAAACCAACCCAGTGTTTGTTGTTCCAGATCATAGGTACTTAAACCGTGTTTGTGTCAGTCCCCCAAGTCCGGCGAGGTGTTGTGAAAATTGCACTAATCCTTCCTTCCCATCCGACTTGCATTTTGTTTTTCGCAGCGGAGAATGAGCGACCTTTTGCGAGAATGTGGTTGATCAAGTGTGGTGAGCAGAAAGCTCCAGCCTCTGACTGCGGTATTGTCTGATGTCTATTTGCCAACCAAGTCACCAATACATCCATGTGCAGTTGCATTTTGCGGATGTTAATACAGAGTTGCCGGAAAGTAGTAAATCAGCGTAGTACAAATGGGTTATGAAATGGGTGGAAAGGAATGTACTACCTGCGTGGAAACCCAATGCTGCGGTTTGGCTAGTTCCAGTAAGAATTGGTTGTCGAAATCCAGACGAAGATGAGTGAAGTGTTCCCTGCTTCCCAGAGGAGGATAATTGGAATGATTACAGAGATGATGGATATGATTAACCAGTACGTATATTTGTGGACTTACACTTTCGGTGATGAAAGAAGAACTTCGTGGAGCAACTCGTATTCTCTCTCACATAAAGGTGGTAGGAGATCACCGTATGGTCTCGGTTCTTTTAAATTCAGATGACTAACAAGCCTTAGCTCAGCCGGTGTGGGGTTGTATTTCCGCGGAGGTGGTGGAGGAGATGAGTCACTTAAGACAAGCGGCTCGTCCGGGACCTCTCTGTCTTCCTGGCGTATCTGCAAAAGTGGAAGTGTTACTGTCAGCAGGAATTTGTATCGCAGCTAAAACTCCTAATAGTCAGTACTTACATTGCTGTTGTCCCACACCGGTTTGACGTTAGTCACCCCAGCGGGAGACCGTTGAACCTATAAATCAGAATGCAAGTTCGGAAAATAAAGAACAAAAAGAAAAAGGATGCAGTCTCAAGGATGAAAAGGGAATAAGGAGTTTACTTCTTCAGAGTCGACACTCGTTGGAGTAGAGGCTCGTGGCTGCGTTAATCAATGAATATGTCAGCCGCATATTGTTGCTAATTATTAAGCCCCAATAAATAAGATTGACGGGAGACTCACATTGGTGAGGTCGAATTGTGGGTTGGTGAGTTCCTGTTACACAGTGATTAGGAAGCGGTTTTCAGTTACATCCGACCAAGATAAAGAGTTAGAGAGCGAGGGATTAGGTTAGACACTGACCAAAGAAGGCGGCTCAATCATGTTGATAGGTGTTTTATCAAACAGTCCTTCTCTGTTGTTTTCCTATAATGAAAAAAGTGTATGGTTAAGACGTTGTTATTTTTGCTATAATTCAATTTTGGACCAGTTACCTGATGTGGTGGGGATGTTGGATAGTTTACCGTAAATTTTGACAGTCGTTGTTCTTCATCACGCACCTTTGATGCAACGTATTGGCTAAGTGGAGGGGACTAATGTAATAAGGAGATAAAACATAACGTCTGTCATGGGTTACCCGCAATGATGATATATTGATATATCTGTGTGTAAAAAACTTACATAGTCATTTACTTCCACGTCCTGCAGGGTGTACTCAATGCCATTTGTAGAAACTAGATGGTCATCTCCCTGGAGAATGTGGTTCTTATTAAAAACGTGTGATTAACGGAATGACTTAAGGTTCTCAAAGAGCGTGGTTACTGATTTACCTCGACGGCGGCCGTACCACGCGGTGGCGAGGCGAACCAGTTATCGGGGCAACATTCGTCCCCCTTGTCAAGGGACTCCTCCTTATGTTGTCCCTGTTTACGTTTGTACGAACGACGCCGGATGTTACAAATGTTGATTGACCTTCTTGTTTCTCTTAGCAGCTGCAAGAGTTTGGTGTGTTTCTTGCTAAGTAGCTCTAATTTATGGGAAAGATGTCCGACTTCCTCACGCAACAAACGGTTGTCCTGTATAGCTTCCTGTACAGCCGATGCATCCAACGCCATTGTCGCTTTTTTTGGACGGTGTTGAACTGGTTTCTTAATAGAAGACTGTGAAAGGTTAACTCCTGCAACAGCTCGCCTCGGTTGCTTCCTTCTGACTATTGATTTGTTTGGCATACGTCTAGATTTAGGTTGCTTGGGTGTCAGAATCGGCAGTTTCTCTTCACCGCCAGGCCATTCTTGCTTCTGAAATTGATGACCACCTCCAATCAGGTTCTTCAAGTACTCAACTCTGCTGTCCACTTGTTCGTCGCGCCACTGAGCAACGGCCGCTATATCGAAATCTTCGATCGGCAGCAGAGGAGTCACTACTAGCTGCATTTAACATTGGACGATTAGTCGTCTGGGAGAGCATGGAAAACGTTAAAAAAAATACCAACTGGAATATTGTACTAACGTTGGGGTCAGACTCAGCTAGCAGCACCGAGTTTTGTGAGATGTAGCCTTTAATTGGTATCGCAGGCCCAACTATGGCAAGCATTGTTGGTTGTTCTTGAGGTTCACGAAGTTTCCTGAGCAAGTTTGGGACAAGGCGGAATGCTAAGAGCTGGAGGGCAAGTGGGAAACCAGTTAGCCTGTATGTCCCGCCTTTCAGTTTATCACGATATGATTCAACTGGGTCTTCAGATTCCCCAAAGATCCTCACGCCGGGTTTCATTGTCTGCAGAGTCCAGAAGAAGGATTCCCTGGCCCATGGAAACTCTAAGAACGCGTTCACGTCATGAAGCATAGTTACATAGTAAGGGGTTGGTCGTAAAGGCAGCGAGTCCGCTATCAGAACACCCTCTACAATGAGGAGCAATGCCAGCTTAAATTTACGCTCAGGGTCAATCAAGTTTTTGCCTTTGTCGTTGGTCAGCGACGTTGAAATCTCCTCACAGGTAGTATTGGGATTGTCCCCAACTATGGCTTTCCATGCTTGATCAGCGAGCTCTGCCGAGTGTTCTGGAACCTTTTGTGGATGGTAACCTTCCGGCCAAGGACCAGCAGGAAGACCAGTAATGCTGGCGAACTCAGGGAGACTGAAACGAAACGGTTGTCCACCAAAAACTGTCCAGAGCTCGTACTTGCGTTTCGTCAGTAACTGCCGGCTGAGTAGAGAATGGATAAGCTTGCCGGAATAGGGGCATCTTCCCTTCGGAATATCAAAGAGGCGTCCAAACACAGAGTCTCTGATCCTCTGAAACACAGTAGTCCCTTTCAGAGTGTGGTGGAGGAAAGTGAGCGTCGATGCCTCTCCATACATATTCAGCCACCCGGTCGGGAATCTGTATGTGGCAAACAACCTTCGAGGTAGCTGCTTGTCCCAGTTTCGGTTGAGGGAATCAGAACCTGTAGGAAGAACGAAGCACACGGCTTTAGCCATTTCGTCTGAAAACAATCGAATACGATATTATTCACAATCAACCATCCAATCTTAAAGTATCCAATCACCCATTCTCTTATTTACTGTTCGAATTAAAACCAGTTGTAATCGAAATTGACCAGACACGCACAAACAGTGACTCGGTATAAGCCGCATACTATAGGACTGGTCAAAAGAACGAGACTACAATTCCAATTTTGCGCTTTTCGTAATGACATATCTACTCCTAATTGAAACATGAATTAAGATTACAGAGTAGAAGTTAGGGTTTCGAGATACCAACCTTCCATTTCGAAGGCTAGGTGTTTGTTAGGGTTTCGGTTCTGGGTGTTTACAGCTGAATCGGAACAGCCTGCTACAGTTAGGGTTTCGGTTCTGGAACGATATCGTTAGGGCTCTACGGGACCGCCAATTGTTTCCGGTAGCTGGGTGTTTATCGGAGATGAAACCCGAGACCCGCAGTTAAAAGATAGAAAGTGACTTGCGAAAATGAGAAAGTAAAAGGATTTCCGTAATACATTAATAAAGTGGAGGTCAAGAGAGTAAACTCAATAGGTGAAAGTCCACCTCTGTCAATAAGTGCCTATCTCTGTTATAACTCATAGAAGTGTGTCTAACTGTAATTCACTCGTATTGGATCAGACCTATTAATCTATTATGGTTTTATTACATACATAATATCATAGCTTTATTGATCAAAATAGGAGGAGACTTTGTTGCAGCTTTCACACAATTATGAAGCTTGGAGTTTAGTACCTAAAGTAAAACTCATTTTCAAACAAATTATTCCCGAAAAAAGTAACAGAAGTATCTCCCGTGGTGTAGCCCAGGTCAACTCCTAGGCCCTAACTGGTAACACCAATATTGCAGAATGTTGAGGAATTCTGATGAATGCTTTATTTAATACACCAGTTGGAGTTTGCAGAATGTTGAGGAATTGTGGAATGCATTTTTTTTATTCTTCTTTAAATTTATTACTTCATTTTAATAACCCCAAAAAACCCTTTAATTCTTCTTTAAATTTAATTCCCTCTCAATTATCCCTTTACCAAAAAAAGATATTGTTGAATTATGGATGTTTTTTTAACTAATTAGCCCAACACCAATTTCAATAATTGGGGGATTGTGGAATATCACTGAAAATATTAACTTTTATTATAGTATAGAATTTTATTTAGTATATTAATAAAATTTTATTTTAGTATAAAATATACTTAATCTAATATAAAATTTTAAATTATTATAGCAATAAATCTTACCAGTTAACTATGCAGAATTGTGAAGAATTGAGGAATGTGGAATTGAAGAATCTATCACTAAAAGACAAAACATGTGATTTTTTAAATAATAATAATTGTGTGTAAATTTTAATACAATTACTAATTTTTCATATTATAAAGTAAATGATTTAATTTTATATTTCCCAGAATCTAAATTTGAAAATTTTCAACAAAAATTGTATTTTGATATGATCATTTCTGAATATTCAGGTTTTTAATTTGTCTGAAATGGAATCTTCATAATAAATTATGGATCTAAAAAAGAAATTTACATAGATGAATCAAAGTAATGATAAAAATTGTGTGTAAACTTTAATACAATTACTAATTTTTATTATAATAAAGTAAATGATTTAATTGTATATTTCTAAGAATCTAGATTTAAACATTTTCAACAAAAAATGTATTCCGATTCGATCAGTTCTGAATATTCAGGTTTTAAAATTGTCTGAAACGGAATCTTAATAATAAAACTATGGATCTAAAAACAAATTACAAATATGAATCAAAAAAATAATAATAATGTTTGGAATAGCATATCCGAATTGAGGTGATGTACCTAATACTTGTTTTAGTATAAGTTATAATAAGATCTACTATATATTTTTAAATAATTATAACACATATATTTTGTGCAAAAACAAGAGAACAACGAATGGTGTCTATACCACTTAAAACAATAAACTCAATTATAAGAAGATTTAATATAGTTTTTTAGGTTATTATACCATCTAAAATTTATATGAATACAATATGAAAGAGAATTAAGCAGCTTAGCAATTATGACGGTTCTCATTTATAAATCGATAAAAAAAATTGAAATTTGTTTTTTAACTTTGGTGTTTAATAAATAAATTATTATAAATTATGATTCTTAAATCCCATATTTTAAAAATTATTTGAGTTTACTAATATTTAATTGTTTTACAAGTAAATTTTTATATTTATTTTATTAATTTAATTGGATGAATATTTTGTTATTCTGTTACACAAATAATTTGTTAGATTTATTCCGCATTCAGCAACATTCCGCATTCAGCAACATTCAGCAGTTACCATTCACAATACTAACTATTCAGCCAGATTCCGCAAAAAGTTACAATTTAATTCCGCCAGATTCCGCATTCAGCAATATTCCGCAGTTACCATTCCTAGGGTCTAAATGGTAACCGCTGAATGTTGCTGAATGCGGAATCCAGCGGAATTAAATTGGAATTGTTGCAGAATCTGGCTGATTAATTAGTAATATGAATGGTAACAGCTGAATGTTGCTGAATGCGGAATGTTGTTGAATGAAGAATAAATATTTAACAAATTATTTGTATAACAAATAACAAAAAATTCACCAAATTAAGTTAAAAAAATAAATATAAAACATATAGTGATAAAATAACTAAATAATAATTAAATCAATTAAATAATTTAAAATATATATGATTTAGAAATCATGATTATAAATAATTTTTGTAACATCAAATGAATTTTAAAACTTATTATTATGAAATATCTAAATAATAGAATAATAAAAAAATTATTTAAAACTTTTAAAATTTAGGAATTTGGATCGATAATAATTTATTAATCAAAAGTTAAAACAAAAATAAAAATAATCATTTAGAAAGATTTTTTTTTATATTATCAATTTTATTAATAAAAATCATCTTTTAATTTTCACATAGTACCACATGTTGTTTTTTGTTCTTCTTACATGAATTTTATTGTTATAATTTAAAAATTTATATCAAATTAAATATATATTATAGTGAAATAATTTTATTTTTCAGTGGTATTCGAGAGTTCCCCAATTATGAAGAAAATATATATTTATGAAATAGCTAAATAATAGTTATATCAAAATATTTTAATTTAAGAATTTTTTATTCACAATAATTTATTAAACATCAAAATTTAACTCATTTAAATTTAAAACATACATTTTTTATATTAACAATTCATTAATGAAAAGCATCCCATATTTGTTGTTTTATTCCTTCTCGTATTGTTTGCATATAGACACCATCTGTTGTTTCCTCTTGTTCTTGCAAAAAAATTACTTCTTCGCCTTCTCCACCTTCTTCGCCTTCTTCACCTTCTCCATTACTATTAAACTGTTCTCGTGGTATTGCGTCAATATACGCATCATCAAAATCAAAATCTTGAATTTGAGAAAGACGAATGAAGTTATGCAATCCAGCTGTGCTTATGATAATATTGTTTTGAATTTCGACCCCATATCTGGGAAACTCTGATAAAATCCTCCATTTTTTCTTCCAAACTCCAAATGTTCGTTCAATCACTGAGCGGAGTGAAGAATGCCACCGATTAAACAACTCTTCTTCACCTCTCGGTGGGGAGCCAACTTGAAAATGTGGCAAATGATACCTATGACCTCTAAATGGAGCTAAATATCCTCTTGTATTAGCGTAACCGGAATCTACGAGATAATACTTGGATGGCGGAGGAATTGGAAAAGTTGAATCACGCTCCATTGCATAAGACAAAACTCTAGCGTCATGTACGGATCCAGGACATCCTACAAATATGTAAGTGAATAACATATCATAGTTGCATATCGCCAAAACATTAATGCTTGTTTGTGAATGCCTGTTATAAAATCGAGCTGCCTCGCCACCAGCTACCATAACCGTACAATGAGTGCCATCCATTGCTCCAATAAAACCATTAAAATAAGGCCAATATTGAGTATTATCTCGTAAACCTCGAGGTACTTGTCGGAGCTGCTCAGGAGACTGCTTCTTAAGTAATCTACCAGATAGTTTTCTGCATGCTTTAAGACATTCTTGAAATTTGCGTCCAACTGTTTCTTGTGCGCGTCCAAATAAGAGCCCAACCGAGTGTTGTGTCATGTTATGACCACATATAACAAGAAACATTGCCACTGTTTCTTCTACCGATATGTTTTTTGTGTTTCTCACTCCAAAATCTGTGTGCAATGTCTCACATAGACGTGTAAAGACCTCTATACGCATCCTCAAAAGATGTAAGCAATCTCTTGGATAGTTATAAATTCTTGTTTTTATGTTGCTCCATCCTAAACCCCATTCAGCTCCCATTGGTTGTCGATTATAATACATTTTGTAGTAATCTATCACAGGCCTGAAGAGTGCTTCCATGACATCCATGTGCTCCAGAAAAATAAGTTCAAGTAGCTCATCGTCCGTGAGGTTATGTAATCCACGTGAATATAACTCGATAATGCGAGAAACCTGAAGATAAATAATAATTCATTAATTAACACTTAAAACATCAAGAAACTAGTATCAGCTGAATAAAAAATTATATTTAATACATATTAAACATTTTTAAAATTAAAAGACTATTTTAACTAGTTGTCTCCATCATTATCATTGTTTCCAATTGTGCGATTGAAATCAGACAAATTAAAACGATCAAGTAACTCGGATGCAGACGCAGGTCTATATGCAAAACCTTCATCAGAGCTAACTCTTGGATTTGAGGACTCATCAAACTGTGGGTTAGAGTTTGGAACTTGAAATCCTTGTCTTCTTCTGAATTGGTTCGGTGAACCGGAACTTACAAATTGTGAAAACCCTCCCAAATTTGAAGTACCATCACCACCAAAATTTGAAGTTCCTCCGATGTTGAAATTTCCAGCATTATTGAATTGTGAAAACCCTCCTACGCCAGGAGAACCAGATCCACTACCAAATGATCCTCTACTACTTGGCCCGCTAGAAC